TGTCGAATAATGTACCTAATCTTAGGGGCCATATACCTATACAGGGTGACTTGTAACTCTACGTATTCTTCTCGGGAGGTGATAATACAACTACAAAATTCCAAAATTCCTAATAAGATTTCCTACAAAATTAGCCCTGAGGTCTCTGGTCCGAAAGTGGCTAGTTTCTGAGATATTCAACATTTTCAGTTTTGGTGAAAAAATGTCGATCGAACTACAAAAACACCAAGGAATACGTCGAGTATACAGAGTGACTTATAACGCTGTATACTTAATACGACAAAAATTAAACATCAAACAATCCTAGTTGCTTGATGAATATTACTAAAAAAAATAATCCAAGCCCCTGATTTTATCCAAGACCCCATTAACTTTTCTATCTATTAAATTAGTATCATTATAATAAACTACCACAATCCAATCACACTTAATAAAAATGGCAACACAAATAACTGGACTCGGAGAATGAAAGGAAGAAATGCTCAAGTATTGGGCATTCAGTGTGCCTAGAATATGATGAGACCCTGCTGCGAAATCTCATTAGACGAGGTATAAAATGAGGCTGAGTCTATATTATAATGTTGCGTGTAGAGAATATCAGTATAGCTAGGCATAAGTAGTGATACAAGAGCAATTCACGTGTCTAAGGAGATTTATATCAGGGCTTCCAAACTCATTTTCTAAGGTGTCGACAGTTATCTAGATACTTAGGTACTAGCTAGGTTTAATTTATGATCACTGTTAACGTAGGTCACGTAAAGACATTAAAAATTAAATTTAAAAAGAAAATGGACTCGGTTGGCGTAGAGATTGTCTGGCTGCTGCGTAACGTACTTATCACAGGTTCGATTGCCGCACAGAACAATGAACAACAGTTTATATTATGGTTGTCTACATAAAAATGTTAACAAATATTTAAAACACGCTAATCGAATAATTAAAAATGGATTTTTATAATAACTAACGTGAGACATACTAAATTAACTAAAATCGCGGGTTACTCACTAACGCGACGACGTCGCGCAGCTCCGACGTCGCTGCAACCGCACACGCTGCTCATGAGGAAGAACCCCTCTGTGGTTCGAAACTAGTAGAGCTTTTATCAGTATACTCACGTGAGTAACTCGCGATTTTAGTTAATTAAAAATAGAATGAAATAAAAACATTCTGATTTTAATATTGTTGAAAGACGTTACCTAATATTGTGTTATGACAGTTGGCTACATAACAAGGATAAAATAGTGGACACAGCTTCTATTCTCATAGAGTTAATGACTGCAACATATTGCTGGAACGTGGTATCTACTTTTATGAGCTCAGACAGTGAAAATTAGTCTAAAGCCTAATGAAATACCATTTTAATGTACCTTTTTCAGTTTACCTTATATTCTAATCAATATTTGAACAAATTCGGCAATAATTAACATGGAATCTGGAATTGTACCCAATATAAGTATGTGCCTTGTTGGCCGATTGGTCGTAAGTGCGACTGCCGGGCAAGGGGTCTCGGGTTCGATTCCCGGGTCGGGCAAAGTATTATTGGGATTTTAAATATTCTTAGTAGTAGCACGGAGTCTGGAACTGTGCCCGGTATATGGCAGTAGGCTCACCCCCTATTACATGGGACTCATAACATAAATAGTGAAAAGTGGGTGTTATATTGTACAGTGGTATAACGTGCACCTCTGCCTACCCCTTCGGGGATAAACGGCGTGATGTTATGTTATAAGTGTGTGCCTACGGCAATAGTCACCTATGATTAGATAGATATATGATAGAACTGCTTAAAGAGAGTGTTACATTAAACACGACAAACTTAGTCTTGCCTTTCGTCGATTAAAAGACATAAAATCAGCTCATAAACCTTCAAAGATGCTTAAAATATCAAATTTTTATAGCCATTAAAAAGTCAAGTCGAAAATACTAAACCAAACTCCAAGAACTAAGTATACTTAAACAGCAATAATTTACTAACTTTTACTAATTAAAGTATAGTTTAGAAAGTTTATATTAACGTAGTTTCGACTCTCATTAAATAAATCTGTAACTAGGAATTTACTACATCATTACTGGTCCAATTTCACCTTCCGATACCCAAAAGCCGCCATTATTTTCAGTAACACCTGTACTTAAGAGCTCACTCGGCCAAACAAAACTTGGCTTAATTGACAAGGAAAATATAAGCATAACTGGAAAATATTCCTTGAATACAGTCACAGGAAAGTGAACCTTAAACTTCATTAGGAATTTAAAGTACCTCAGAGCTTGTGTTAAGATTCTGACCGCATTAGATTTGTTTTGTTTGTTTACCGTTCAGGTATTCGGGATTTTCCACACATTAATTGTAGGTTATTAGTGATTATCGTAATAAACTTGTTAAACTGAAAAACATACATAACATCACGCCTTTTATCCTCCAAGGGGTAGGCAGAGGTGCACATTATACCACTGCACAGTGCAACACCCACTTTTCACTATTTATGTCATGAGTCCCATGTAATAGGGGGTGAGCCTATTTCCATATACCGGGCACAGTTCCAGACTCCGTGCTACTACTGAGAATTTTTTGAAAACCCAAAATCTTAAAAAACTTTTTTAAACTGAAAAAGTTAATAATTTTTCGCAATATAAGTGAATTAAGTATCTATAGGTATATATAGAATTTCTTATTTACAAACAAGCTTTAGTCTTTTTTATTTTAGTAATTATTCTTCGGTTTTACGTTTAATTCGATTAGTTAAACATTACCTTAACCTACGACTTCTGCGATTATTTTGAACGAAAAACTATAAAACATTATTATGGTTAGTACAAAACTAGGGTAGAACGCAAATCAGAATTGCATTCAATATGTCATCGGAATGAAATATTAACTTTCATGAGTAGTTCGCTACAAAAACCGTGGACTAATACGAACAGAACTTTACAGAACATGCATGGATACCTACATGTAAGTAGATATTGTATTTTTTAATTAAAGTAATTAAATATTTACTTATACATAACTAAATATTCCAAGATTGATAGCTAAAAAATCGTAGGAAGTCTGATAAAATTTTTTGCATAAATCTTTCAATTGAAAAAAGTCCTCCTAATATACCTATTAAAATATAATTAAAAAAATAACTCACCTCCAAAAAAACTCGTTGTAAAACAAACAAAAAAATAAATAAATAAAATCACCGAAACAGCAATAAAAACGTCCACAAAATAAATTCACATTTCAGGAAAAGTTACGGGTGGTCGCGATGACAAAGTTACCGGACGGCAATCGACAGCGCGCAGTGAAACACTGCTGAAACGACTTGCCTTCGCGAGAGCTCGCTAGCGACTGCCTCGTCACACCACATTCAGTATTTTCAGTCTACAGTCTATCTAGAAACCAAAACTTGAGCTCAACATACTCGTTTAATCCAGTATCGTGAATAATTTTATCAACGGCTAAACCATCTTTATAAGACTTCGTAAAAACTTTATTACTATTAGATAATCGCTAATTATCCACATATTATGATAACTAGGTACTCCTCTCCAAACAGGTAATGTTATCTAGACTTGAATATTTTGTTTACGTAAACATCACTATCATAATCTTTAATTAAGTATTTATAATTTTAAATCATTGTAGGTATAGAGATGCGAAGCCTCTCGCGGTAGATTACCTACGTTATTTTTACTCTTAATTCCTGTTTTTAAAACAGGAGATTATAACAGTAATAAAGATAACTTTTGTTTAAATAAAAAAATTGAATTATGCCAATAATACCTGAACCCGAGACATTTTCTAGCGTATCGCACTTATAACCAATAGGGTAGATGACTAATTTTTATTTTAACATCCGTCTGGTACATTATTTTAAATCATTAGACACGTTTTGTTTACTTTTTACAGAAACGAATACTTTCGACGATATATTGATTTGAAATGTCGCGTGACGTCACTTCTATGTACATTTTATACGTAGAAATTACGTTTTAGCCCCCACTCCTAAACTTTGATTCGTTATATCTAAGTATCATTTTATTGTACATCAAAATAAAAAAATACGTGTTTAATATTTTTTCATTGCCTAACTGACGGACTAATTAGATTTTTAATTATCATACCCCGTCATCATCCCTATTCTTCGAAGCAAATTTTCAGCAGCAACACAGAGCCTAAATCTGGGATCATTAAGATCCGTGACGGTTCACTTGTGGCCTCTCGGTCTCCTCTTTGTACTTAAAATGGGTGTCATAATTTCCACGCTTGGCAGGCAGGGTGGAGATCACAGTTTAAAAGGGTTCAATCGGATATCCGATCGCTAATAGGCAAAGGCATGACGTTACGTCTTGTTATATCAAAACTAGAATCAAAGTATAAGAAACTCTTTAACTGTATCTCTGCTGTGTAGGTACTCATACATAATTATACCACTTGACTATGAACTTACGATAATATTAAAGTAGGCAATTCCTGAATCCATTAGTGTACCTAATCAGTAAATGAAATTCCATATACAATACCACTTGATAGCCAACAAGTAGGTACTTATAATATGTATTGCTTTACCTCTATACAAAAACACTTCACAGCAAATGAAAATGGTTGTGAATTCAAGATATTTTTCAACATTGTTTTGTGTTGCAAAATATTCACTTATTACTGCGGGTAGGGTTAGGGATAGGAATTCAAATTTTTGCGGAATTATGTGTTACCCTTACCTTTGGGCCACAGGGGTAAGTTTTTACCCGACTACGGTGACACAGAAAGGATTATACCCAGTCAGTAAGAGTCAGAGTCCCCTTCATTTCATCTCACCCAGGCGAGAAAGTGCGCTCAATTTTCAATTTTCGAAATTCCAACGGAGTTTAAATAAATGAACCTAATATTCGGTCATGCTCACCTTTTTATGTCCGCCTTAATTCGCTTTAGTAAACCAAAATCCACACTTGCATAGAACAGCTATACGCTTCAACTTAAGGATCATGGGCCCTACATAACACAGAACTCGTAAACGATGGTGCAGTCCTTAGAAGTTGTGAAGAATTCGAGCTCTCATGTCACAACTATTGAGGTTAGTTCAATGCTAAAGTGTCGAAGAGAGTGCCCTCATCAATAGAGGACGGAATCGAATACAACTTGAATAATATTTTCCTTATTCCCTAAGGAAAACCAACCAGTTATTACCTAAGGGAATAAACAGACAGCTATGAGTACCTAACAAATAAACTGCTGTTTTACTGTTGTACTTATGACTTTGACTTGTCTGTTTACAGAATTTTACCAAACTACAATCATTTCGAAATATTTTGCCTAATCGGACTCGGATTCCGTACTACTTTCTATTAAGATCAAGAAAAAAAGTTTATTGTGTGGCTAGGTATTTATTTGAATCAGTTTTTTATTTGCTGTTATAACATCTACCAACAGAAATATTTTATTGCTATAAAAATTTTATTGAGTACAAGATCAGTACACCACGGTTCATGAGATACAGCCTGATGACAAGACACAAAACAAACTGACAGCGAAATCTTTTCGATAAATCACTGTTTTAACCTATCGGTACATATAGAGCGTTAAAAAATCTAAAACATAACCTATAAACATGAATAACTTTCCCATGAAATAAATTTACAAAGCAAATTCCTTATTTTGTTCAGATTCGAACTTTACTAAAATTATAATCAGGATTGAACTTTCCCTAAATTAAAAGATAATTTATGAAATCAATCTGAAGTACAGTACGCGATACTCCTACGCCAATTAGTCAGGCGGAGTGTGAAGTTAGCAGTTTAATTCCTCGAGGCTTACGGTTTACCCTTTCCAACGATAACTTAAATAATTTCACATTGAAACTTATTAACAGGGTTAACAGGCAAAGTTAAACTCGATTTTATTTATTCTAACCCCTGCCAGTAGCCTTGTTTTAACAGAGTAAGATTGCCCAACTTTATTGATATCCAATTAATTTATTTTAAATTAAAAATAGCTAAAGAAAGTGGAATATGTCATAAATAGGTACCTACCTACCTAGATACGTAAGATGCGTAAGTTTGTGAGTATAATAATTATTCTGCCCTGAGTATTTTTTTTATTCATATAATAAACATTTAAATTGAATAATAAATATACCCTCACAATACCTCATAGGTTTAACTAATACATAAATAGATTGATAACACAAACAATATAACCGGAATTAAGTACCTACTCACCTACGTGGCTTCACATCACCAAAACATAAAATATTTGAAAATAATTTTAATAACCCATTACATATAAAGTAGGTAGGTAGCACAGAATCTAGAAGAGACCGCAGAAGCAGTCAATGCAATCATAAACATAATTTTAATTTATATAGAATTTAATTCCAATAAATCAGTGTCAATGTCAATGTATAGATGGCGCTAGTATAAGTCGCTGCTGCTGTAAGGTCCCAGCTATTCGCCGACAGATGGCACAATTAAAATTTTATACACGATTTATATTATCACAAGAACGTTGAAAAAAAAGTAATTTCATAAAACTTCACCCGGAAAATTGTAATAATAAATTATATTACATGTTTATAAGAGCTTAAACGTACATTTTATGTGGTACTCAACGCAGATTAATATATAAATATTTATTATTTACATTTTTTCATAGGTACGTGTCTGTATTATTTTCGGTTTTCCCACTGATAATTTCATGTAGCAATATAAAACCTGCGCGCGCACTGCCCTACTGAAATAATTATGTTTGACGTGCCAACTGCCAACGCAACGCAATAGTTGTGCGCTAAAGGCCTCGTTCCCATGACAAAAAAAAAGTACAAAAAAATGGATTGCGTTGCTCTGGTAAAAGTTTCAACGAAAACGTATCCCACAATTTTTTGTTTCCATAGATTTGTAGACTTTAATATCTAGCAATATTATTAACAAAGAACATTACGTGATTCCATTGAAGCTACAAAATTTGAAGAAGCTAGCAGAATTTCGAAATCCTAACAACTAACAACGCGCTTGGCGACAGAAGTCGCTGGGATGTTATTAGAAACGCAAGTGTAACCTATAAACATCAACAAGCATTTTTGTATAAAAGCGCTGGCGCTCAATTTTTTGAAGATTGCAACAAACCGTAAACCACGGCGTCGAAAAAAACTGAAGAATCTGCCCATCTGGAAGCAGATAACCGATACAAGGTTAGTTTGTTTGTTTATATTTATAAACTCGTAATCTACTCAAGAAACGTTAGACAACCCACTAAAAGCGTTAAAATTTGTCCAAATTGGCTAAAAACTATTTAATGTAACTGGAACAAAGTCTATGTAAAGTGTAAACGTCGATTTAATGTTTGTACGCTGCAAAACACTGTTATGAAACAGATCACAAGGTGAAGCCAATAGCTACCACGAAAAAAGTGTCATAACGAATAAATGAAATGTATTGCTTTTATCAACGACGCTATCTGATTAAACCTAGAATATAATTCGTCATATACAACAAAATTACAAATCCTTATTCACAGTAAACAACAGTTGGTTACAAATATTTGAAGGTTGTTTCTCACAAGTTTTAAAACAGTGTACTATGTTTTTGTCACAGATGCCTGCTGCTAGTTTTGGATCAATTGCACAGCTGCCAGGAACGGGAGACTGTGGGATAAAGGATGTATGGAATCATAATTTGCATGAAGAATTTCAAATAATAAGACAAGTAAGTTACATGACGTTTTTGTGAAGTGATGACTAAATTATAATATTGCTTAAAAATTACTTTATTATGGCCTGTTTTACAATGGTCTGATAAGTTTCCCTTAGTCTAACTGTCAAAATATTTGAGACTACTTAAGGAAAGTGTGTCAAAGTACCTGCTAGTTGGACTCAGACATTATAAAACAACCTTTGTTGTTTCCTAAGAGATTGGTCCCCAACTGGTTGTTTCCAAAGATCATAAATATATTGAACTTTAATTATGTATCAGGTTGTTCAAAAATACCACTGGGTGGCAATGGACACAGAGTTTCCAGGAGTTGTTGCCAGACCTATCGGAGAATTCAGATCCACCGCTGACTATCAGTATCAACTATTAAGGTAATTAAAATACTATATTACTAATTTGACTTATAATTATGACATATTTTATAAAATCCAATTTACTAATACTATTAAAATAAGTTGCTTAGTCATTATCAATTTAGTTGAGAACTTATCACTTGAATTTATAAGTAATTATTCTCTGAATGGTACATAAAATTGAACTGACACAATTACATAGTAAGTGACGTATATAGCATCAGCCAATTGTGTCAACAATGCATTTTTCATGTAAGTTATTTCAGTAGTAGTTAAAACCTTTACTGTATCATTTCAGATGTAATGTTGATCTCCTAAGAATTATTCAGTTGGGTCTCACATTCATGGATGAAAACGGCAAAACTCCTCCTGGTTACACCACATGGCAATTCAACTTTAAATTCAACCTCCAGTAAGTAATTAGTGTTCTTTGTATTCCCATTGTATTTTCAACAAAAATACTCATTTATGTCGGCAGTTTTTTTCCTATTAGGTAACCAAAGATTTTGTTAAAAGTTCAACTGGGTGTGCTAATTTTTTTTTTGGGTTGAGAAAATGATCCAATGACTTCTCCCGCCCGGGTGAGGCGAGAGGGAGTGTCAGACTTTTACTGACTAAAAACCACCAACCGATAGACTCCGTATCGGCATCTGCCCTGTTGGGCCCCATCTATGCTGGTCTGATGGCTCCTTGAGGTGCGCGCGGAACGCGACGCGCCGTACGCTCGGGCCTGGTTCTGGTCGGGCGGCGAGTCACCCGTGCTCGCCGACCGCAGGCCCGTGAGGGTGTACTGAGATACTATTTGTATCATCTGTATGTCCTGTTAATGGATGAAAAAAATTGTTGCTAGGCGACCAATAAGACTAACAAAAACATTGTGTTTACTCTAATGTGCTATTATTTCTTGCAGAGAGGATATGTATGCGCAAGACTCAATAGATTTACTGCAGAACTCAGGTCTCCAATTCAGAAAGCATGAAGAAGATGGCATTGAGCCCCTGGAGTTTGCAGAACTATTGATGTCATCTGGTAAATATATTCTATTAACATACATTTTAAAGGGCATCAATACACTTGTGACTCCTTTAGTGTGAAGAATATTTCTTCAACAGTTGATTATTCATCATCAGGCAATCTGTAGGTGTCTACCCTCTATTAATAAATAAATCTTTTTCTTGCTGCCTCATTGGCCGAGTGGTCGCAAGTGCTACTGTCGGGCAAGTGGTCTCGTATGGGACCTGGACCTGGGACCGGCAAAGTATTACTGGGTTTTTAAAAATCTCAATAGTAGCATGGAGTCTGGAAATATGGCCAGTTTATGGCAATAGGCTCACCCCCTATTACATGGGACTCATAACATAAATTGTGAAAAGTGGGTGTTATATGTACAGTGGCATTAAGTGTCGCAATGTGCACTTCTAAAAAGGCGTGATGTTATGTTTATGTTATATGTTTTTTAGCTTGTCTTAACAGTCACAACAATAACAGTAACAATTTCCAAAAGGAACACTGGGATACCTATGAAACAAGCGACTAATGAATAGCAAAATTACCATTAAAACATCTGAATAAAGCACAATCAATCACAATTTTTAAAGAAAAATCATAATCGTGATTTGATTCATATCCACTATAGAGAGAAAACAGCAACCTAAACAAGTTCAAGTTCTTTGTATCAATTCTTCATATGAACATAGTATACTTTAAATTGTAATATATATATCATCTTTTAATACATATGTTTCTAATTTCAGGGCTGGTGTTAATGGATAATATAAAGTGGCTCAGTTTTCACTCCGGCTATGATTTCGGTTACCTTCTAAAACTGCTAACTGATCAGAACTTACCGCAAGATGAAAATGATTTTTTTGAAAGTTTGAGGCTTTACTTTCCAACTGTTTACGATGTAAAGGTAAGAAACTACATTTGTATTTTCTATTTATATTTTATTATACCATTCATTACACATCAAGTATGTGAGAGCCATGCTTCGGCACGAATGGGCCGGCTCGACCGGAGTGATACCACGGCCTCAAAGAAAACCACGTGAAGCAACGCTTGCGTTGTGTTTCGTCGTGTGAGTGAGGTTACCGGAGTCCCAATTACCCTCCCCTTCTCCAATCTCCCCTATTCCTGAATCCCCAACGACCCTAAACTCCTAATCCCTAAAAGGCCGGTAACGCACTTGTAACGCATCTGGTGATCCAGGTTTCAATGGGTGACGCCGATTGCTTACCATCAGGTGATCCGTCTGCTCGTTTACCGGCTTATGCCATAAAAAATAAATATCATTATATTCAAATTGTTCTAAAAGGAGTCACTATTCGATATGAGGAGTCATTATTTAATAATTACCATTATTTTTTCCTCCCTCTCTCTCTCTTTGTTGTTAGTTATTCTCCGTACCTCAGTTTTCGCAGATTTTCTACTTAAACCCTAAGGTTGACTGGTAGAGAATGCCATATGGCATTAAGTTCGCCTTATGTACCATAAACAAATTATGTACATTAAAGAATAAATAAATAAATATGAAGGCTACTACACACATGCCGCCGGGTTCATGCCGAGCGGCTATGCCGCCGGCAATACAAGGCACAAGCAAGGTTGTGACAGTCACATAGAACGCCAGTGAAGTGAAAATGTTTTACTTGCCGGCGGCTCCTTTGTATGCCGCCGGGTGCACGGCGGCTTACCCGGCGGCCCTGCCGCCGGCACTGTGTGTAGGAGCCTTGACTTGTCATTCTGTGTCTCTGCCAACCTCTACAGAGACAAAAAATGTACCTTAACCCAATAGATCCAGAACCTAACGGGTAACCGGTGCTCCGGCTCGACGTGCAGGAGAAGGAACGGGGTGGTTTTTAGTCAGTAAGAGTCTGACACTCCCTTCCGCCTAACCCAGGCGGCAGCAGTCATTCGATGATTTTCCCCCCTTAAAAAAAAAAAAAAAACCAATAGATCCCCAAGCGGTCACCGGTGACCGCTCTCCACTACCTACATTATAGACCTTATTTCCAATGCTTAGAGACTACTTATGTATGAACAAATTTAGGGGATGAATTTCAAGGTATATAAGAATGCACCTATTTTCCTAAACTAATTTTATTTTAATTTTTTATTTCAGTACTTAATGAAGTTATGCAAAAACTTGAAAGGTGGACTGCAGGAGGTGGCAGATCAGTTAGAACTGCGTCGAGTGGGACCTCAACACCAAGCCGGTTCCGACTCACATCTAACAGGAATGGCATTCTTTAAAATAAAGGAGGTACTGCAATGTAATCAAATCATTAATGGTTTTTATTATGCTTATAAATAGTTTTGTTAAGTCTAATCTCGATATTTGATTGTACTAACTGTCAATTTGAATATTGATCTATTATAAGCTTATTTAAAATAAAAATTTCAATTACAATCATCAAGTTTGTATTGCTCACCCATACAGACTGGCTCAAACTTACTACTTATAGAAACTCATAAATGCCTTCCTTTTCCAGATATTCTTTGATGACAACATCGAAAATTCCAGTGGACATTTATACGGTTTGGGTGCTCCCTTCTCCGTAAATGTAAACAATTTCCAAGACAACGGGGAGAATGGAAACTCCTCCTGATCTTTAGAAAATGGGCATGTTATAAGCCTAACACCACAACCTCCGGTGTTCCATATTTCAGAGTGAAAATAACATTGAATGTGTGCTGTGTACATAAAGTAACTGTGAGTGACAATTCGACATTAAGTGAGCACTTCTTTCTGTGTGAATAAACTCCTGTTATGTCCCCTATTTCATTTATACAAGTTAATTTTACAAATTTAAAAAAATCTGCAATGAAATCATAATTATGTATATAAATAAATTAATTCCATGCATCCATATTTAGTAATTATACAATTTAGGTTGATATTATGTATTAGTTTTACTTTTTATTGATATTTAGTATATTTTATAGAACATTTAGATTTAAGACTATTATTTCTCTTAAGGTTCGATCGATTTATTTTATATCATAATAAATTTTAAGATTTCGTAATATTTTTTGTAACATTTAAAATATAATTTTAAATTTTTAAAAGTAACTTTTTTCATTATTTGGCAAGTCAAATGTTCCTTCCTACTCCTACTGCAATGGTCACATACCTCAATTTTAAAAATCGAAACAATTTATTTCTTATTATGGAAAGTACCCAATCATAACAACTTTATGAATTTTGTTGGGGAAAACGAAATCACCCGATTTCGTTTGTGATATCATAATGTTTGTATTATCAAATACTATACTTACTAATGTGTTTATAGTGTTTGAAAAATACTGAAATTAAATATATCGTCAAGACAAGTGATGAGTGTGATTATTTTTGAATATTTTATGGTATTAAAGAGTCGTATCCATATTTAACGAGTTATCAACACGTCATAAGCAACTATCATAGACATGTTAAAAAGCTAATTATTTGAGGTATTGACAAAGACCTAATATTTCCGTGACAATTTTTCAAGTGCCTTCCGTCGTATTACATCTGTCTCACCACTTTGAACAAACATAATGTTGTTTGTAGAATTTTATCGTTTAATTAAATATATTTTAATACGATTTTATCACAACTCGTACCAGTTCATACCAAAAAAAGTGTAATTGAATAGAAGTATCTACAGATTTACAGGTGAAACTACAACTACCTATGAAATTGCCGTTTCGTATGAAATGGCATGGACGTAGCCAGGGTGGGGTATTTGCCCCACCCTAGCTCAGTCCAAAAGTACCTACCCAAACTTAAAAAATCTAAATCATCTAATAGGTAGTAACTGCAAAGTCTTTTATTTACAATAAATTATATACTCGACAGTTAACTAGTCTAAAATCGCGCGTATTATAGTTTACCGGTTACATGATTTTTTAGACTTCGCGCGAGGCGCGTAGAAGTACGCGTAAGTACTTCGCGCTGGCGATTGAGTAGGTACGTGCGGCACCCATTTGTCAAGCTTTTTTGCCTTGCTAATTTGGCGCAAATGGACCAATAATTCGTCTTTATTGACCAAAGTCTTCGGACGACTGCGAGATTAATTTTTCAGGTCGAAAAGAGATCATATTTTTGAGCCCTTTCTAAAAATGACGGCCAACGAAAAAATATGGTCATTATAACTAGCCATTTGGAGCAATAGTTAATGTGTCGTAAATGTTGTAGGATCCAGGATGAAGAAGTTAAGTATTCTAGTTCAAGATTCATAATTTCCATAGCTACCTATGGAAATAATGAATCTGTTGAATATGTTTATTGTTTTCTAAAGGTAAACCTACTAGAAAACGCAAAATAATGATCGATATCGCTAGAGTAAAAAATCTGACGCAATTATGATGATAATGTGAAAAGTTTTTGAAGTCATCTTTTTTTTGTCAGAATATCTTCAACTTACCTACTCCTATCGTCAGGGCCGGATTTAGGGGGGGGCAACCGGGGCGAAAGCCCCGGGGCCTCCACAATAGAGACTTCGGAAAAAAAAATCTTTCAAATTTCAACTAGTAAACCTAGTAAACATCTTTTCTTTGATATTTTTTTTTTCGCTTTTACCTTTACCTACAGCCTAAAGTACTTTATACATACATGATTATTTGGTTATATTAATTTTAAATATTAACAGAAACAGAAATCATTGATCTATATTTGTTCACTCCAATCAGGCAATCAGTGAAATATCAAAATCTCAAATGGCTCTGATAAGCACTTCCAATTTACCACCTATCTTGAGGGAGTACCCCAATGGCTCAATGGCTCAGTGGGATGGTACTTGCCCGCAACCTCGAAGGTTGGCAATTCGACTCCGTGTCTCGACCATTAAAAAAAATATATATATACATATAAATTAATTGCAGTATGTGAACAATTGGTATTCTTCAATTCTTAAACTCGAAATCTGTCGAGCGTCCTCGAGATCTATCGAGCATCCTCGATCGTTTTCGAGCGTCCTCGATTGTTTTCGAGCGTCCTCGAAATCTATCGAGAGTCCTCGATCGTTTTAGAGCGTCCTCGATCGTTTTCGAGCGTCCTCGATTGTTTCCGAGCGTCCTCGAAATCTATCGAGCGTCCTCGATCGTTTTCAAGCGTCCTCGATCGTTTTCGAGCGTCCTCGAAATCTATAGAGAGTCCTCGATGGTTTTCGAGCGTCCTCGATCGTTTTCGAGCGTCCTCGATTGTTTTCGAGTGTCCTCGAAATCTATCGAGAGTCCTCGATCGTTTTCGAGCGTCCTCGATTGTTTTCGAGCGTCCTCGAAATCTATCGAGAGTCCTCGATCATTTTCGAGCGTCCTCGATCGTTTTCGAGCGTCCTCGAAATCTATCGAGAGTCCTCGATCGTTTTCGAGCGTCCTCGAAATCTATCGGGCGTCCTCGAAATCTATCGAGCGTCCTCGAAATCAATCGAGCGTCCTCGATCGTTTTCGAGCGTCCTCCATTGTGTTCGAGCGTTCTCGAAATCTATCGAGAGTCCTCGATCGTTTTCGAGCGTCCTCGATCGTTTTCGAGCGTCCTCGAAATCTATCGAGAGTCCTCGATCGTTTTCGAGCGTCCTCGATTGTTTTCGAGCGTCCTCGAAATCTATCGAGAGTCCTCGATCGTTTTGTCTACATTGTTTAGTCAATTGGCTACATTGAATAGGTACCTATATTACGAAAGGCGTCATATTACGAAAAAATCTTTGGACACAGGCTTTTTATCCTTGGGAACGCGGGCGAAGCCGCTAGTAGAAGCTAGTTTTGAAATAAAATTATTTAATTTGAAATTAGAATTCTTAGCTAAACAAAAACTACTTTGATTTGATATGGCCAGTAGCTGCAGAACGGCAACTTCGATATTCATATTTCAAAAGACCTAATATTTTTGGTATTAAAAAAAATCACTGAATTTGACTAGTTTGAACTACCCTATCGCATCGTGATCGCAGCTTGCCTGAACACGTGAACCTTTCTGTAGGTAGAAAGTTAACTATGTAGTAACTTCATGTCGGTTTATTTCACCCAAAATATTTATTTATATTTTAATATCTTTTACGTAATCAAAGTTCACAGGCAAGCCACATGCTGATTAATTTATTAAATAATATTGTTCTTTATCAATCAACTGTTACAAACTGAATTTGGGCACGCGACTTCGTTTGCTTGTTTTTACATTATTATTTCAAAAATATTCAAAATGTTTGTGTTTGAATAGAAACCAGCAAATTCAAGCTCCAAATACATACATGACACGAGGGATTATTTTTCTCAAACCTTAGTGGAGTACCTAGGGTGGCAATTTTTAGTTCTTTTTTTACCCTGCCTTAAATTTATACTTACTTAATTGCAGTTGGCAATAATTAATTTCAGTGCGTATTTATAATTTACAGAAGTTATTCAAACGATCACGACCGACCTACCGACCGACTTAAAGTTAATTTATATTTATTAACGACAGTATTTTATGCTTTTATTTAATTCGTTTGGTTGTTGTTTGCGTTACGTAATAGATTCACGTGTTTATTAACCCCGTTTTTATTTTACAGTGATAATAAATGATTATCGTATATATATATTTCACTTAGTTGTTTATGTTATTGTTACTGAATTTAATCTATGTTTTAAATCTATCTATACGACTATACCTACATGACTTGTATTTTATGATTAATTGTTTTATATTGTTATCATTAAGCAGGGTTGCCTTGCCAGTATGTTATTTACTCGATTTGCGAGCTTTGTAGCCAGAAAAAGAAGCACGATAGCTGAGCTGGTAGAGGTACTTCGCATCTCATCGGTCGTCTCATCAGTCGTGACAACGACTGTCAGAATTCGAAAAGATACCAAACTAATGAACAAAGTAAAAAATCAGACCAAATCCGAAAGCTTACAATATTACGCCTTATGATATTATCCACAGAACATATAAATTATCTAAAACACGTTGGTAAGGGATGGTATTTCAACAGGTTAGATGGGACCTAAAACAAGTTGTCACAAAAGATGGTATTTTTTTATCGCATCAGCATGTAAATGAGCAGACGGATCACCTGATGGTAAGCAATCGGCGTCGCCCATGGACACCTGGAACACCAGAGGCGTTACAAGTGCGTTACCGGCCTTTTGGGGATTAGCAGGATCGTTGGGGATTCAGGGACTGGGGAGATTGGGGAAGGGGAGGGTAATTGGGCCTCCGGTAATTTCTCATTCACACGACGAAACACAACGCAAGCGTTGCTTCTCGTCGGTTTTCTGTGAGGCCGTGGTATCACTCCGGTCGAGCCGGCTCATTCGTGCCAATTAGAAAGGAGCAAATGAAAGTAGGGTACAAAACGCACAAAAAAGGTAAAGAGAAGATGTAAAAGAGAAAATAAGTAAGTATGGAAAGAGAAGTCTGGAGGAAGCTAGAGACTTTTCCGTAAGAATGAGTAGGTACTGATAACAGATGATGTAAAAATTAACTAAATTTATTTCGCTCGGGCTCAGCAACATGCATGTTTGGGACAACCCTGGTGAAGTGATGACCTTAACCTTTGAAGTAAAATCTTAAGTTTATGTTTATTTTGTAAATATGTTATAGGAATTTTTATAATGTTGTTTTTTCAGATACGAGTTGGCCCGGTGAACTCCATACTTACTCAGCGTATTTTCTTGTCCATGTCTAATTATAACTATGCGACAAAATAATTTTGTCTTAGTTTGTTCTTATTAAGAGCCCCCCAAATCCCCTAAACTCCCCCAAAAACCTTAACCCTTCAAAAGTCCGGCAACGCTCCTAAAACGTTTAGTGTCGTGTGTGTCCAAAGGTGGCGCCGATTTCTTACCATCAGGTAATCCATCACTATCCTATAAAAATGATCTGCGTAAGTATTAGGATTATTCAGAACACTAAGAAAATCGGTTCAACCAATTTTGAGGTTGGTTAGTTAGACCAGACGTAGTTTCTACAGATGAACCTAAATATATTAGATCAGTCATAGATGTGAGCTCGCAATTTAAATAGGTAACCTAGACTACTACTACTTACAGTACTAGGTAGTTAGGTACCTACTCCGTTTTACGCTACAATTTATCTTGATAAGTAAATAGCCGTATGTAGGTGGTATAAAACGATATTTCTAGATTGTTATTTAAACCTACGTACCTAACCACCTATAGGTGTTTTAGGTGACACCTATTTCAAATTTTCATTTATAATGTAGGGTAGGTAGGTACCTACATATTACATTTTGTTGTAAAATCCAGATCATCTTAATGAGAATGAGGGTAGATAAACAGCCCGACTGCCTCAGCTTGGATGACCAACCTTGCTAAATGACTAGAGTTCAACGTAAGTGTTTTCTTTCATGCATAAGGGTGCAGGTTCGAAACCCACCAAAGTACGAATGTGACTTTTCCGGGTTAAGTATATGTACCTACTTTCTAAGATTATTTAGACATCACTGACATAAACGGGGAAGGAAAACATCATGGGACTTACAATTTCTAATTATAAGTTTGATATCGCCAACCCGCATTGAGCAAGTATGATGATTTAATCTTCAAACCTCTATGTGAGAAGAGGCCTTTTTGAGTGGGGAAATCAATCATCCAATGATTTTTCCCGCCTTGGGTTAGGCGAGAGGGAGTGTCAGACTCTTACTGACTAAAAACAACCCCATTCCTACTCCTGCTCTCCGAGCCGGAACCCTATTGGGCCCCATCTGTGGTGGTATGATGGCTCTTTGAGGCGCGCACGGAACGCAATGCGCCGTATGCACGGGTCTGGTTCTGGTCGGGCGGCAAGCTACCCTTGCTCACCGTCCACAGACCTACAGAAGAGGTCTCTGGTTAGCAGTGGCCACTCATAGGCTCTTGATGTGATTCGAATTCTCTATTCCTAATCCTTTACATCACCTTCTAGGTCAACAGACTAAAACTTAAACTATAATCATCGGTGTTATCAATACCCAGGTACTTTTCCATCAACATTACCTAATATTGATATTTTTCAGGCCCATAATACATTAAGTAACTTTCATAATATTTATCACACAAAACACGGATACAGATATCCATGGGGTGATATTAATTATCATGTATTAAATAAGCATAATCTTTATTTATGTTTGGGTAGTTATATGGTTTGAGATAATACCTAGATAGGTATAGGTACAATGCCTGGTAGTTTACCTACCCATGATGCTATCTTATCCTAGTGTTTATGAAAATTGACTTGAGTTCGCATTATTTGAAGTGCCCAACAGTTCAGCAGTGACATATCTGTGTGGTCGGCTATAAAAAGAAGTTCGCGATGAATCTAGTGTCAGAGATCTCGGCGCGACTGAGCCATTTAGTACCTCCGGTCGTTTCACCCTACAAGGTAAGATTATTTTTTTTATTCTCATTACATAATTTTGTTTTAGGAATACCAAATGATTTATGCTTAGGTACCGGCATACAAATAAATAAGGCTACTACTAATTTAAACTAATTTTACGACTATTCTATTATATACCTACTATTTGTTTCATGTTTAATGGAAATTAAAAAGAAATTTAAGTAGATAAGTAGTTAAGATAGATATTAACTTAACTACTTTTTCACTTTTTTATACTACTGAATATTTTACCTGTGACATGTTAGTGATTTAATTTTTTCATTAATTAATTACAATTGTCGTGTATCCATGGATTGGATGGATTTTAATTACCTGAGTTAATCGGTAGTTAAATACTTTAACAATTTTTGGTAAACACCTAATACAAAGTCGTGTTTATTTTCAGTTTAAATTTAAAAAATAATGGCGACCCAAAAGTTTAGTGGACCATCCCCATACAAACTGCCCGCTACTTACCCAAAGGAAGACTATTTCCACACAGAGTAAGTTATCTTCACATATGACACTCAACGCAGACGCCATGCTATTAAGAATTTTAATAATTCGAACATCCCATTAATAATTAACCTACCTCGAAATGGATCCCACACCTCTTGTTCGGCAGTCACACTTGCAACCACCCGACCAACGAGGCATAACTTCAGAAGAAGTTATCTTGTTTACGTGTAAAACTCGAGAAGCCTAAATCCGTTTTATCTTTATGCATTTACCAACGGCTTTAACGATTAGCTCGATAATTCTGAAGACTGACAGCAGATATCTTAGATATCTCATCAATGATTCCATGATCCTAAAGTCATTTCTATTCATATTTTCTTTTCCCATTGATACTTAATATTGGTACTCTTGATCTCCAGGGTGTCCTAATACTGCAACCAAGCACTGCAGTATGGGAAGCAGCATCCCCTGAATTTTCGATGATCTAAATGCGATTCCCAAATCCCCTACCAAGCGTGAGAATAATGGCAAACCCTCTAAATAGTGAGGCGTTTACTTAGCAGCATGCCTTTATTTACCGCAGAATACTTATACCTCTAGATTATATATGTCTAGCAATTGGTGCACAATTTTTTTTATGGGGTAAGCCGGTAAACCACCCGGCCATTCGTGCCAAAGCATGGCTCTCCTACACTTATTATCCATTTAGCTATTTATTATCTCAGTGCGCAGATAATTTTTGATACCCAGCACATTCAAGATTCAAGATCTAAATTAAATGAACTTCCACAGCTACGTGAACAACGTGACATTGAATCATGATGTCAAGCCTCCAAAAAAACCAGTTGTGGCTGCTATCTTTGGTCTCGGTCGTGCCGGCTCCATCCACTTGACCAGCATCATCAACAACACTCGCATCGTCCTCAAGTACGTCGTTGATGACCGCACGGAGAGATTTGCTGACCTCAAGAAGTACTGGAACTTCGGAAATGATGTTACACTGCTAGCTTCTAGCGATGCTCAACGCGTCTACAATGACAAAGAGTAAGTGAAGAGCTAAGGGTAAGAATAGTGCTTGGATACTTCGATTTGAACTGGTATCTCGCTTTAAGTTGTGAGAAATCATAGACTCTTCATGGTTGCGAATATTTTGCCTAATACCAATTTTACTCCACAGAGTCAACGTTGTGTTCATTGGTTCTCCAACTTGGACTCACCACGACATCGTAGTCAACTCCATTGCTAACAACAAGGATGTCTTCTGTGAGAAACCTATTGCGGAAAATATTGAAGATACTAAGAAGTGCTACGAAGCCGCTAAGTCTAAGGGCCGTGTCCTTTTCTCGGCTTTCAACCGTCGTTTTGACCCCTCCTACAGGGCCTTGAAAAACAGAGTGAGAAACGGAGAAGTTGGCCATGTACAGATACTTAAAGTGACTGCCAGAGACTCACCTCTACCTTCCATTGACTACCTCAAAACATCTGGTAAGACATTAACAAAAATTTCCTATTTATCTTTTCATTTAATTCATTTAGTTCATAGACTCCTTAAATAAATTGCACTGTGCAGTTAGATAGGTACCTACTTCATTAAAGTAGGTAAGTAAATAGTATTGGATACCTACTTCTACTTACTTAGTTACGTAAAACATTCTTATTTATCAGGTATTTGTTTTTATCTAAACAACTTTAATATGGCTAAAGCATCAAATGATTATGGTCAAAATGATAAAGTTTTGACATGTCATGGTGCTGTTAATAAAAGATAATGAGACTTTGTTATTATAGTTAGGTATTAATAAGTTTAAAAACATTATTATGGTTAATTGATAACAGCTCCATACTTTTGTCAACAAATATTAAATAACTTTATTTTGATTCACATACATTTATTTAAATTCTCTACAAATTACATTTTTAAATACTACTTATAAAATAAAAAAAAATATATTTAAAAATATAAAAAATAGTAGCCGACCTGTAGCGGGAGCATGGTCCAAGCTACCGGTGGTGAGGGCTCCAGAGACAGAAACCTCCTCACGATACGTACCGTTTCTAGGAGAACTGCCTTCCGTATCCTTATTCTGATTATTATTATGATAACTGCTGTTGCATGTGAGTTGTCCGTACTTCTTCTATCTATGCAATGAAAATCGTATAAAAACCGTTTAATCGTTATTGGATTTCTTAGGAACAGGCAGACTTGTCTGAAAAAACGAGCATATATTTCAGAGACTGTAGTAATAATAATACTTCAATTAAAAGGTGGCGTATTCCACGACTGCTTGGTACACGACTTCGACATGGCCTGCTGGGTGCTCGGAGAACTGCCTTGCCGTGTCCAAGCCTCCGCTTCTGCCCTTATTCCCGAAGTAAAGGCTATCGATGACTTTGACACCATCGCCTTCCTTCTCACGTACCCATCGGGAACCGTCGTCTTAGGAGACAACAGCCGTTACTCTGCCTACGGCTATGATCAACGATTGGAAGTTTTCGGAAATAAAGGTATGATTCCGTTATTGACTTCAAAAAAGAAGGATATTCTACGTTTGCCATCTATGTTTTAGAAATTTTGAATATGAAATTAATTATGTGCAATGCACAGAAATATTAAAATAAAAATATATATTATATCCATGTCCTCTAACTTACGCAACTGATTGATGAGGAATACTGCTCATTACTATAGGCCAAAACTACTAGTCGGGTTACCTCGAGTAGATACTTATGTGAAAAGCCATAGGTACTGTTTAATGTTCAATGATTTTAACAATAGTTGAATTATTCTGATGGGGCTTAAGTTAAGTAGATAACTTAGGTACCTACTTGCTCATTCAGTGTTTCAGTCACTGTCTAATACATACAAAATGCCTTTTTTTAGGTATGATTAAGGTTGAAAATGAGAGGCCGTACCACTCGACTCAGGCATACATTGGCCATGAAGGCGTCAAGGAAAGTCCTATCTACTACTCCTTCCCGTCACGGTTCAGGGAGGGCTACAAAAACGAATTGGAGCACTTCTTAGACGTCGTAACTCGTAAGTTAACTTTTAACATAGTTTTAGAAATATGTAATATGTACCTAATCCTCGTAATATGTAACATGCATTCTCTAGTTTTGAACCTCTCTAATAAACTTCGTTCCAATGTAATAAGTTAAAATAAGACTAATACTTATTAGTTGCCAGACTTCTGGCAACAGGATATTTTTTATTGTTTTAACTTTGTACTCATTTAGACAGCTCATTTTATTAATTGTCTTTATTTCATTAGGTGGAGTCCCAATGGAGGTTACTGACTATCAGACTCTTGCCATCAGTAAGATTGCTACTGCAGCCGAAGAGAGCGCCCGTACTGGTAAATCTGTGGAGCTTGACTGGAGTAAGGACGGCATTCCCGCCAACTATTCATAAATTTCTACTAAAGAAAAGAGAACTGTTACACAAAAGCTTTACAACCAGTGTTTACAGAAATTACCGAAAACGTTTTGTACCTACCTAAGACTACGCTTGTAAATATTTCTTTTTGTTTGTAAATATATTAATTAAATAAATGTTGATATACATATTATAAAAATACAAATAATCGTCTTTTATTTCTCCTGTACTAGGAATTATGAGAGTCAGCGTAGGATTCAAGAGCTACAAAAAATATTGACAAAATATTTACATAACATTACGCCTTTTATTCCCGAAGGGGTAGGCAGAAGTGCACATTATGTACAATGTAACACACATTTTTCACATTTTATGTTATGAGTCCCATGTAATAGGGGGTGAGCCTATTTAATGTAATGTATACAAAGTATTTAATGTAATAATAAAATGTATTCACACAACCACACAAGTAGTTTTGGGGAACCCTATTTACGTAGACGGGGAATGCGATCTTGCTCTTCATTGAGGGTGTCAGGAGGGTGGGAGGTTTGCGAAATAGCGACTCTCACGAGTCGAAATGTAAGTCATATAGAATAGAGGTAGGTACTTATTTTAGACTAGACAGCTTGTGTCTCATCCTCAGTCAGCTGCTTAAAAATCATGCAATATCTCGCTATCTAGAAGGTCCTAGCCAAAAATAACGCAATTTCGTCTCCCGTAAAAATATATTTGCTGATTAGGGGATACGGTGGAAGTGAACTTGGCTCGAAATGGGCCCACCCTAAAATATATCGAAGTATTCTTCTAGTTTGATCCTCGATTGCTTGAAAATCTTGCAATATCCCTCTATACTATAGGGGAAGTCCGGGAGAGTTTATCCACCTTTGACTAAAATGCTCATAAATCACTTTATATTTACAAAATATAATTTTCTACAAATTGTACACTAAGCTGCATTATTAAGCTTTATATTTTTCAAAGAAAATTTCATAAATCATTAATACTTTATAAGTAATTAACGATTTTTACCGAAATGAGATTTGGCTAATATCTCCCGCCTGGTTGGGAGACTTGACCCGCAAAGAAGGGAGACTTTACCCGGGTTTAAAACTAGGCAAAATAAAAACAACTAATTATAATTATATAAATAAATTTATTGAAAAAACATAGCACATAATAAAACGTAGTAAATGAGAACAAGAGCTACATAGTTGAGTATCTTTGACATACGGGTAGTGAAGAATTAAATACTTATCTCATATCACAGTAAGTGTTTATAAACATTTATTATTTGAAAATCTTTCTAACATAGTTTATAACAATATAATTAAGAATTATCACAACCAACAGTTATTTTATAAAGAAAACAGTATTTCTACAGCAAATGATCTTAAACATTTAACAATATCTTATCAATATGGAGAAGAATGCTAACTAATATAGGCTAGGTATCTTTGTAGCAAACATAACAGTCTAAACCTATTCTATCTGTGTCATAACTAAAAAAATAACTAAGGTACAAATAGTAAAACGCTAAAAGTAGGGCAGCAAAATAAAAAGACTTTCAAAACTAGGAACAAAAAAACTCAAAACAAAAAAAAATCTTCGAAAAAAATCTCATAATCACCAGTCTTCCTTTTTTCGTTGGATCAATTAGGACAAATGAACTGTTCCTTATTTTCATTTTTAACCAGTCCAACGCATATTTCATGGACATTTTTACCACAAAAAGCGCAGTCTCATATCCATAACTTCGTTTTCTCCACATATGAAACAATACCAATTATTTTGTACTTCATTTCATGAACTATCAGAGCTATCTTCATATTTGGGCTTGTCTTCAAGGTCTGTCTCACTGGCACTTGACTGCAAAAGTTGTCTTTTTGCAGACTTTTTCATTGCTCTACCTTTTTGTTTCTGTTTAGTTAATTTGATTTTTTTCTCAAACTCAATTCAGTTTCTTCTTCTAAATCCTCTAAACCAATCCATTCCTGCGCAATTGTTCGATGTCCATAAAGCTGGGACCTTTTTGGAATTACTGGTTGTTTTTTTGGATACTTACCTGAAATAAAAAACAAAAAAAATGGTTGTCTGTAAAGTTCAAGGGAGGGAGAGATTACCCTGGGTAAAGCCTCCCACCGTCGCCAGGGTAATATCTCCCACCCCACACCAAGCTGTCTGTTATTCAATTTCTAAAAAAAAACTATAATATTTAAATAAAAACTGTCTGTTGTAAAGGTTATAAGGATAAATTACACTATAGATATATATTCATGACACGCTGAAATCTATAAACAGTAAGCAATAGCATCCAAATCTCAAAAATTGAAAAATATTACTTACCGGGCACAAAAACCTGTTTTCACGTGTTACTCGAAAACAAAACTGCCGATCGCAACGCCGCCACGTGAGCAAGGTGGGAGGGGACTATGAGTTTTAAGAAGTGTGGCAATTTTGAAATATCTAGTTATACAGAGATTCTATGATCAGTGGCTATTGTCTCCTCCCTGCTAAACTCTCCCGGACTCCCCCTACACTATCCAGATATTTATCCCTTTCGGAGTATCTCTTACTTACAATAGGTACATTTGTAGAATCCCCCGTAAAAACTTTACTGATTAAGAAATAAGGTGTACTTAAATAACTTAGTACTAAACCATACAAAGATAAAATGTATTCACGCGTGTGTGTTTTCTGTTTTCTATGCATGGCCAGGCCATAGTATGGCAGTAGGTAGTGAATTTGTACAAAACTATAAAGAGCACAATTTATTTTGGTACATTTACAATAAAATAGTTATCTTTCTATAAGCGGCGTAATTTACCTATATACCTAATTATTTTAGTTATTTGGAGCAGGAGTTGAATAAAAAGCAATAAAAAGTCATTTGTTATAAATTTGTCTATAGTCTATGGAATGTTTGGTTAAATATCTTTAATCTTTGGCGATCGGCAAAAATTCATAAACAGACAGGCTGACTGGATTTATTGAACTGAATAATTTCCAATTTATTTCTAAGTTAAAATTTATTCAGAATTTACCGATGCCTGCTGCTAGTTTTGGATCCATTTTAGCAAGTACTGTAAAAGAAGATTGTTCCATAAAAAATGTCTGGAATCATAATCTTCACGAAGAGTTTCATGTTATTAGACAGGTATTATTAAAGGTTTAGTAAATAATTTCCTAATAAAACTAAGATTAATCTATAAAAATAATTAGTTTCCGTCGTTTTTACTAGAAACAAAAGCAAAAATATGTTTACATTTGTAACAACACGTTAACCTATAAATGGGAACCACTTGTTTTTTCTAGATTGTGCAGAAGTTTCACTGGGTGGCCATGGATACCGAATTCCCAGGAGTTGTAGCAAGACCCATTGGGGAATTTAGATCTACTGCCGACTATCAGTATCAACTGTTGAGGTACACACTTTCACCTTTAATTTTTGTTTTTCGATTCTTTTAATTTTCTATACAGCTGTTTTTTACAGATGTAATGTTGATCTCCTAAGAATAATACAGTTGGGTCTCACGTTTATGGATGAAAATGGCAAAACTCCACCAGGCTGTACTACTTGGCAATTTAATTTCAAGTTCAACTTGCAGTAAGTATTTTATCGTTTTTTAATATGTGTTCACTGCAAGTTAAGTTTTACCTTGTATGTTGATGTTTTCAGGGAAGACATGTATGCGCAAGATTCAATTGACCTGCTCCAAAACTCTGGTCTCCAGTTCAGAGAACATGAGGAACATGGGATTGAACCATTGGAGTTTGCAGAACTTCTGATGTCCTCAGGTAAGCTTGCAATAGATAAGGCCAAGAGTAATAAGTTATTTATTAGCAATCCCAAATCTTTTTATCGAGATTTTATAAAAGAATTTGATTGATCTAGAGATTTACTTTTTAATTCACACTTTAGAAATAAATGCTTAGTGAGCAATATTATCTAGTAGTTACTTTTGTACTACATTTCAGGTATTGTTCTAATGGATAACATCAACTGGTTGAGTTTCCATTCAGGTTATGATTTTGGATATTTACTCAAAATCCTAACAGATTCAAATCTGCCACAAGAGGAAAATGATTTCTTTGAAAGTCTTCGGCTATATTTTCCAACTGTTTATGATGTGAAAGTAAGTGTACCTTTTAATATTTATGTACAATTAATTATATTTATTTCCCCTGAGTATTAAATGTTATTTATTCAAAGTATCTAATGAAGCTATGCAAGAACCTGAAAGGAGGCCTGCAAGAAGTAGCTGACCAGTTGGAACTTCGCAGAGTTGGACCTCAACACCAAGCTGGTTCCGATTCACATCTCACTGGAATGGCATTTTTCAAAATCAAAGAAGTATGTATTTTGAAATTATTTTTTGGTTAAATAACATATATGCATTTTCAATACTATAAATTTAAGATTATGGGGCCAAAAATTAATTGAAATTAATTGTTTTGGTTTTACAGATTTTCTTTGATGGAAATATTGAAAGCACAAGTGGTCACCTGTATGGGCTGGGAGCACCATTTGCCAGTAATGTGAATAATTTCCAGGACAACATGGAAAATGGCAATTCCCCTTGATGAGGACACACCCTGTGTGGTGAACTACACACTGCCATCCCATCTCCTTATTTAATGGAAAAACTTTAAGTAAAGCATTTGTACCTGATTATGTGTAAAAGGTAGAAAATACGGAGTGTAAACTGTGATATCAGTGTAGTTGCATGCTACACATATAAGGATTTCTTAGAGCATAAAATATTATAATAATATCCCTGAGTGATTAATTATTTTTCCCAGAAAATAATAACTGCTCAGGATTGTCTTAAAAAGTATATCCTATTACTTCCTTAGACCTAGAATTTTACCAATTGCTTTAGAATCCTTATCAAAAGCTTTTAATTAAGTTACCAAAGCTTTCTAATCAATGTATTTAATCAAATCTAGCTAGTATAGGGAGAATGTATGGAAATGACCTGTCATAATGGTAATTTTTAATTTGAAAGTAGATAACTACTGTCAGGTTTACTATATTTGCAATTTATTAGGATCCTTCCAGAAATTGGTGAAATGATTTCTTTTTATTTGACATGTTTCATAAATGTAATGGTATGCATTTGCAACAAAGAGCATATAAAACTGTAGTCGTAAAAGTAGCTTCAAAAGCATTATAAGGCAGATCTGTTAGTTTTGTAATTAGATATAATTGCATTTAGTGAGTATTTCGAATTGAAAATAGATAAATAAGGCTGGTAAAAATAAATATGTACCAATTTGTACCTTTTTGATAATGAAACTGTGAAGAACATTTGGCAATACATATTATAGAATAATTTTTACAGAATATACATTTAATTTTTTAACAATACTAAATATCCTAGAACTTGTCCTATAAAGCACCAATAGTGTTTCATGAAAATCTTCGTAAATAAAATATTCTAATATTCACATGTGTTTTTTTTTCACTTTTATTGCTATTTAAAATTACTTCTAGCACTCAATATAGTTTTTATAGTGTAGCATCTCCAATTTGCCACATTTTAAATGAGTCAACCTATTTCCCCACGCCTAGACATCCATATTGTTACGTACCTACCGGAAAATTTTATATATTGCTTGTATCTATAAAATAATACATTTTATTCACCTTCAGATAAAAAAGAATATCCACTTGTGTGCCTACACAGCCTCAATAGTAACTAACAATGAATACAAACAGCCAGATAAATTATGACAATAGGTTTATTTACCATTGCAATGTTAATAATTGTTACATAAGAAATTATGATCATTATCAAGATGCCTGCTCATTGTTGGGTTCATTTCTTCTTCTTTTTGTGCTTCTGGGCTGTGTCTGGAGTATTATCGGCCTTGCGCTTACTGGTGTTGGCGCCTTTGCCACTGGCATTACCGCCGGGAGTATTTTGATTGGCAGCACCACTCTTTTTCTTCTTTTCAGCCCGTTCTTTCTCTTCAAGTTCTTGATTTTCTCTTTCAATCAAAGTGATGAGTGTGTTACATCTGAAAGTAATCAATAATATTATGTTCTATGCGCCACTTAAATCCTTATATCGCGAAGGAGCGCATTATGGTAGGGCGACATACCTGCGCTGTAATTCAACAGCTGTTCTAGATTTGAGGAACCAATCAAATCGGAATTGCGGCGCGGCGTGTACTGATGCTCGTAGTTCTTCGTAAACATTTTCTTTGTCGAAACCCAATTTGTGTAACATGCATACCAGGAATCTGAAACCAAATTATGTTAAAATTAAATAATGCATAAGAATAATTAAACAACCAATATTTTGTAATTATAGACTACTAAATAATTACCTGTCCTCTTCTTCAACATAATTCTTTCCTTTATTTGTTCCATACGATATTCTTAGTTGGTGGAATGGAGCTCTGTAGCGCGCCATCTTGGCGTCCAGGGCTTTCTTGATTGATGCTCGCCTTTGTATTTTCGCCTCTCCCCTTTCAATTTGACCCATTATTCTGTCTATGTCTTGGAGTTCATGACACCGCTCCCAAAATACTGCAGAATATTCCATGACCTAAAAATAAAATGGAGACAAGTTAATACAAAAAAAAACGATGTAGGTAAAATGTTTATGAGAATTTTTAAATGATTTTTACTAACTTCCTCTGGAGTTTTCCCTTCCACATCCTTGGCAATATTTTCAATATCATCTCTGCCGTATTTTTCATTAGCTTTGATGAATTGATTGAAGTCTCGTTTTGTCCAGTTTGTGAAGCCTGTGCATAAGAAAATAGGTACATTAGTTAAACAAATTAAAATTGTTTTAAATACATTCTGTAATTTTCAATTTCAAAACAAAATACCTTGAGTCAACAGTTGTTCCTTTTCTTGTATCTCTTCCTCTGTTAGAGCTTCAGCATCGTCTATCTTCCGCTGTTCCTCTCTTTGAATCTTGGCTGCATCGGGGCCTAACTCAGGATTTCGCGGTACTTTGTACCTAATCATACAATATACCATCATTACTAAGTTTGCCATCTAGAATAACTTTAGTATCACTCAGCTTAGTTTCATGACTTACCCTAATGTTTTGCGGTAGTGATATATTTCTTGATCCAGTAACTCGAAAAGTCGCGGCGGGAAGAACTGGAAGTCTTGTACGATAGGCTGCTTTGGAGGACGAGGAGCCTACACATGAGAAAAGCAAATATTATATTTTGGACATCACAGGCATAGTCCCCCAACTAACTACACATAAAGCACTATAGATACACATAATATGAGAATGTATATAATATGAATGACAAAAATAATATAGTAAGTAATATTCTAGTTATAATCTACGACATAAGGCGATATAAATATATTACAGCAGAAAATAAGTCTACATTAAATTAAATACTAAATAAACTCTACATTTATGCCAGTATAAAGAGCTAATTTACATAATACAAGTACATGAATTAGATGATATATTGCCAAGTAACCACCACCAAGTAGACTGCTGCGCTGACCTCCGCATTTAGCTCTTTACACTTATTTACCTGTACCTTTGGCGCCTTCGGTTCGGAAACGCGGAGTGCCTCTCGGAAGTAAGCGTCCACTGCATAGTTAGCTTTACGTTCGCGTTTAGGCGGTTCTATCCAATTACCAATGGGTAAAACTTTCTGCTTCTCTCTGTAATCCTCCCCTGAATCAAACAAATTTTGTTAGTGTTTTAGTTGACTCAAATTCATACACACTTTTAATGAGTATTGATTATAAAAACCTTCAAACTGATACACTGAATCAGTCGTTGCGCCGGGGGTGTCCATGGAAAACGCCCGCAGGGACGATTCTCCTAGACTCTCCAGCTTCTGCTTCAACTCTTCAGTCTAAAAACCAAAAGTGGTAATTGTATTCCTTGATTTCTATTGAAATTATTATAAACTTGAATCTGTTTTGTTTACCTTGTGTTCTCCTTTAGCTAATATGACATCAATGTCTTCTTCAGTGATTTCCGAATCCTTAGACGAGAACACATGATTGGCACCATGTCGGATCATGTTGAGCATTTCGTCTTTATTCAGTTGACTCTTGATGTCAACTAAACGTCCTGATTGAATGACAAGTTTGTCTAGCCTCAATTTGACTTCAGCACGTTCAACAATTTTTTCTTCAACAGTATTTTCCGTAATAAGTCGAAATACTCGCACCTATAAAAAATCGCTTATAGTTAGAATGTTAAAACTCAAAAATTTTTTACAATGTTTTTTGTTGTAATATTATGAACTGGCTTACACAACCGCGAAGATACTAGAGAATCTTAGGATAAAGTAAGTGATGTTAATCAATAAGAAATATATAAATTACTTGTTTCTTCTGCCCAATACGATGAGCCCTGTCCATAGCCTGCAAGTCCATTTGTGGATTCCAATCAGAATCGTATATGATGACAACATCCGCGGACGTTAAGTTGATACCGAGACCTCCAGCGCGCGTCGACAACATAAACACAAACTTCTCACTTCCCTCAGCATTGTATTCTTCTATTTGCCTGTTTCTATCTTCATGTGGGGTTTGACCATCCAAACGGCAATACTGTAAAAAGTTCAAGTTGATGTTTCACAATAAAAAGAAATACAATAAAAAGTATAAAATAGTAAAGTAATGAAGCATCATATACCATACCTTATATTGCCGCCAAAGACAATAATCTTCCAAAATGTCCAGCATCCTGGTCATTTGAGAGAAAATGAGCACTCTGGAGTCCTGTTCACGTAATTTAGGTAGCAATTTGTCGAGAATGGCGAGTTTTCCACAGTTGTTGACAAGATGCATGTCTGTAGTATAGGGTGGGCCGGGCTCAGCGCCATCAAACAGATAGGGATGGTTGCAACACTTACGGAGCTGCATAAGAATGTTCTGCAGTCGCATCTTCTCTACCTTTCCGGCGCCATTTACTGTAATCAAAATAAAAATTAATGTTTTTGCAGCAAAAGTACTTCTTATAAGGAATTAAGAGGAATTAACAACATAAGGAATTAAGAAGTTTAATACTAACCAACATCAATATCTTTCATTAAAACCTTAGTGTACCATTCTCTTTGCATTTTGCTTAAACCAACGTAAACCTTGACCTCCTTTTTCGGTTTAAGTTTCCTCTCGACTTCAGATTTCAGACGACGAAGCAAAAATGGTCTTAACACTGCATGCAATCGAGAGACTAATTGATTGTCCCCGAGAGCTGCATTTGTGTTGAACCATGAGTCAAAGTCCTGCAAATCACAAATTTATTTAATGAACTGAAAATTCCAACATTTATATTGCATTGTGTAGTAAACTATACTTACATCAGAGCTATTAAAGACATCTGGTAGAAGGAAGTTGAGTAATGCCCAGAGCTCATGAAGGTTGTTCTGCAGTGGAGTACCAGTCAGCAACAACCTGTTCATACTCTTGAACTCTCTGAGCAGTTCAGACAGTTTGGACTTTTCATTCTTAATTCTGTGAGCCTCATCAATCACCATGTACCTCCAATTAAACTTTTTGAATACTGATCGCTCCCGAATGATCATCTCGTAAGATGTGATGCAAACATCCCAGTTACCAGGCATAAGAACCTCACGGATGAATGTGCTCTGAAATATTAATTATTATGTTATAAGTTCATCACCTTCATCTTCACTGTTTATAAGTAAAACAATATTCCATAGGTCAGTTTACAAAAATTATTTTAATTGATTACAAAATATACATATATTAACAATGCAAAACAGTTATAATTTAATATAGAAACATACCCTTGTTTCTTGGTCACCAATCAGACAAACTGCTCTCAGTGAAGGGCACCATTTCTTGAACTCATTCATCCAATTTGTCAGGGTTGATTTTGGCACAATAACAATGTGTGGCCCAGGTACATTCCTGTAACATTATAAACAACACAATTACTTTTCTGAATCTACCATAGATTAACTACAATAAATTCTAAAAGAATACATTTTAAAAACAACTTACTTGAAATTCTTCATGTACCCAAGCAGGGAAATGGTCTGCAAAGTTTTTCCAAGACCCATCTCATCAGCCAAAATACCATTGATGCCGTTTTCGTAGAGTGATATCATCCAATTGAGACCTCTCACTTGATAATCACGCATTTCACCATTTTTAATATAGGGTGGGGATGCTTCAAAGCGGAATATGGATTTAACTTTTGTATTCGTTTCTGCCAGCAGTTCCTCATCTTCTTCTTGCTCAGTTTTTCGATGACGATGACTAAAGAAATAGTTAAAATTTAAATAAAAGAAGTACTACATAACATGATGGGTGTCTATAATACCACTAAAAATAAGCATGCTGCATAGCTACTAAAAACAATATGTATTTACTAACACTATTAATATTTCGTGTTTGTACAATTATAAACAAAGTAATAGGCACAAAGCGCATGTTTATTGTTTGTATGTAACAAGACAAGGTGAAGGTTAGTTAGTTTATTATTACTTACTCGCCAGCTGATCCGCTCTCTTCCATCTTAATCTTCTTGGGTCTACCGGCTTTTGGTTTAGGGGGACTGGCACCAGATTTAGGGGTGTTTGTCATAAAATGAGAGAAGATTTCAGTTTGTTTCAACAAAAACTCAAATCTTTTGGAACGATCGGTTTCAATTTTACTTTCGAAATCACCTTCTTTTCCCCTCGAGGACGTGGTATCGCTCGAGGATCCATTCTGTGTAAAAAACATTAATTTAAAACTAATCCTCAATAAGAACACGAATAATAAGAACAGTGCGGTAAATGAAACCTACTGAATTTTCTCCCACATCTGCAACATCCATGGGTTCCTCTGGTTGAGACATGATGACACAAAATAAATATCACTTATCAATTATTTAGATAACTCAATTCGAGAGAATATACATAACGTATTGATTAACGTTTTTCTTTTAACTTTTAACAACACGACAAGAACCGGGCGCGAAAATTATCCACCCGTCTGCAAGCTGCTGATGCGTTACCATAGACTAAAATTAACTACTTTTAAATATACTTCTATTCAATGTTGCCAGCTTAAGACTATTAAACTGTCAAACACCAAGCGGTCACCGGTGACCGCGACCTATTGTTCTTTAATTGTGTCTATAAAACCGGTACTCGACGAGTTAAATCTTGCCATTCATGATGAGAATGACTTGAAAGTCGACTAATGTTTTAAGTTCTCAAAATAACGAATATTTTCAGCTATTTATGTTATTACTGAATTTTTCAATTACATGGAACTTGTGTAAATATTAATAAGTTTCTTGGTCTTCGTCTAATGACTGACAAAGTCAAAGCGACAACCCAGTTTTAGGGTGGCGTCAAAGAGTATAATAAGTATAGGGGTTGGTGGCATTACTGCCGCGAGAATCTGGATTTTAGTTATTCGAGTAGGTTTGTACTGTAGATGCATGTTTACATAATCATGCTACTAGTTTTATGACTGATGTGTATGATATTCTTACTGTCGTTCATAATTTTTTTACTAAGGTTTCAACCGATATAAATAAGTGATCAAAACATGTTTCGATTTTCATTTATTTTTATTTACAGCATTATCAATTAAACTATTTAGGAACACTGCTTTATCAGCTGTTGATCTTAACTTGGAAAATTGACTCCAGGGTACCTGAAATTAGTAAACTTACTTTAGACCCAAAGTAATTTTATAAGTACATGAATTACATACATATGATTGGTAGGTACCAAAAATGTGGGAGAAAGAATTAAAAAATAGAAAAACGGTTCAGGGAAATTAATAGACAGACATATGAGTTCTGACAGTTAAAATAACATAACATAACATCACGCCTTTTATCCCCGAAGGGTTAGGCAGCGCACATTATGCCACTGTACAATGTAACAGCCACTTTTCACTATTTTTGTGATGGGTCCCATGTAATAGGGGGTGAGCCTATTGCCATATACCGGGCTCAATTCCAGACAGTTAAATTAAGTAAACTAAATTAAAAATACTCACTAATACTCCATGATAGCCCAATGCTTCAAGTTCTCTTACTTTACTAGTAAAGAACCCAGTTGCATTGTCTGTACCATGTATTATTGCATTTCTACCTGCTAATACCAACACTATCCAAGTCTTATTATCAGGAAGCTTTCTCATTAAACCAAAGTCTGATGATGGGAAAACACCTTTGACTGCAACAGGAGCACCACTGTGGTCATTGCAAATTATTATATCTGAAAGGGAATAAACTAGATTTATTAATCAATATAGCATTAAAGCAATGCTTGCATGCAACAACTAGAATATTGTATCAGCACTAGCTTAATACTAACAGTCTACTGTCACTAATAGTTAAGACTTATGGCAACACTAAACCAAAATCAGTTGAGTGTGAAGCAGACTAAGTACTCACCTCCTCTTTGATAGTGAGGCAAGATATGGTCACCAATGACATAATCATCACCTCCACGAGCTTCTTTCAGTACCTTCATTATATCCAAAAACATTTGTTCAGTTATATTGTACTGTTTCACATAATCCTCCCTTGGCACATAATCTGTGTACTTTTTGGCTAAAATTTTCTTCTCTTTATTTTCAAGAAAATTGATGTTGGCATCACTACAAAAGATTTCAGCCACATTGTTCAATGTTAAAATTTCTCTCCCATAGTTAAAGCAGTACTTTCCATAAGTCCGTTCTCTAAATTCTGGAGTAAGAACCCTACTGATTAGGTCCACTGGGTAAATACCTAAAAGAGTTAGGTATGCTATGCAACATGCAAATGACCTGCCATGTATGTTGATCTCTATTATTCTTTCAGGCTTCCTTAATTCATCCATTACTTTGGTGAAGAAACATTCTTCTGTGTTAGGTCTTAACCCAAATGTGCCATACGTTAAAACCAATCTTTCAAGATCCTTCACCCTTGTTTGGGACATAGTTTTTATAACCTTTGCAGCAATATTATCTAAACACTGTTTGTGTAAACTTAAAGTAGAAGTTCCAACTAGCGCCATGTGTACATTACACATCACTGATAATCGTGGAACTTCAGATTGCAAAGCTTCTAGTAGGCAGTTTATTCTATCATCAAGGACTGACTTTGTGGAGTAACGAATTAGTTTCAATAAAGCTGCTAAAGATACTTCATGAATAGTTTTTGAATTTCCTATAACTGTGGTGATAATTTTCTTTACTAACTCTGGATCCCTTATTGGTGTTTTGCTTTTAAAATATCCCATAGATATTATAGCCAATTCATCAATAGTAAATTGGGAATATTTTTTGTTTATCTCAACTTCCAAATTGTGCATGTCAAATGGTGATTTTCTCCATATTCCAATAAAGAATAATGTGTGCACAAGTTGAGCTGGTGTTAAATTTTTTGCTTTAGAAGCCAGTTTTTGCAAAGCTTTTACACAATAGTCACTATATCTTATTACATTTATCATGTAAAACAGTGATAAGAAAGTTAGTAACTCATCATATGACCAATTCTTCAGCCGATTTAAGCACTCATCATCCAATGCTGCCCACACTTCTATAATGTTTCGCGTTCTGATAGATGGTGTATCTGGCCACTTATTTAGAGTGTAGAATAATGTTTTTAACTCTTCATCAGTACCAAGTTTGATACTGTCAGTGAGACTGTCTATGTATGTATCAAATATCTGGTTAGAAATACATAATTTGTGTTCTGAACAATATAGAGCAAATTTTAGAAAATAATCAAATAATTCTGCATGAGATTTTTTAGACCAGTTATATTTAAGAGCTTCTTGAAATTCTTGTTCGCTTATACAATTTCGAGAAATATCACTTTTCAAGCTAACGGCATACCCTTTCTTCTCTAATATACTATATGCATAATTATTTTCATGTTCCAGAAACATTCTCCCGCACAAATGTGAGCTACAATGAATTCGTCGTCTGGAATATTTTTGTAAACTGTTAAGTGCCCCTACATTAGATCGGTATTTAGGCACGGTGAAATTTCTTACAATCCTCACTAAGAAAGACATTTTGAAAGCAGCAGTACTTCTACTTTCACACACTGTAGTCAATAATTTAATTGTTATGATGAAATTTTATCCTAGAAAACATTTCAGATTTTACTCAACATTGACAGAAATCACGATACGATCACAATCACATTGGAATGACAGTGACAATGACAATCTTATTTTATAGGTTATGTTTTTACTTTTTAGTGAAAAATTACGATTTGGAACGGCACTATTTGAGACTTGAGATAATTATCTTCTTTATTTTCATTATTGTTATTTATCTAAATATTTAATTATTATAATTATCCATTGATTAGCGGTACACAAATAAAACAATATCACAAAAACTTTTTGTTCGTGAGTGAAAACAAGAATAAATCTAGTCACAAAACTTTTAATAAATTACTGTAAAAACTTATAAAACATGGTAAATTACTTCGTAAACAAATATTAATCATCGTTGTCTTTAATAAGTTCTAATGAACTGTCTCCACATTGAACCCAATGCTCAGATTGCTCCCAACAGCCAAAATACCGTGGTTTTAGATATAAAAGTTTTATCTCCTCTGCCCGACCTAGACCTGGAAGTGGTACAGGCCGGATTTTGTCTTCGGCTTCCCTTTGTGATCCTAAGTATAAGTACTTGTCAGTCCATGTTGCCCATTTTTCCTGCATAAAAAGTATAAGTTTATTATGAGGGTGTCATCACTTACAAGTACTTAATTATCTATCAAATCATCGGGTGATAGGAAATCAATGCAGGAATATTTGTAATTTTGAATAGAGTTCCAAATATTTGTACATGTCAGTTTTTAAGCATAGAAAGCATAAGTGATGGAAATATTATGTACCTAAATCTATGCAGATAAAATAGGTCACTAATCCAAAGTTTGTAGTTGTTGCTGTCTTGCCTACCTACACTGGGTAGGCTACCACTTATGAAATTATGAATTACAAATTACATAACAGCACGTTTTTATCCCCGAAGGGTTAAGCAAAGGTGCACATTATGGTACTTAATGCCACTGCTATATAAACACTCACTTTTTACTAATTATGTTAGTCCCATGTAATAGGGGGTGAGCCTATTCCCATATACCGGGCACAATTCTAGACTCCGTGATACTACTGAGAACTTTTTAAAAACCCCGTAATACTTTGCCCGACCCGGAAATCGAACCCGAGATCCCTAGCCTGGCAGTCGTACTTGCGACCACTCGGAAAACTAGGCAGTCGACGCGGTCGAGGCAGTCAGTCAGAATTACAAATTAGTAGGTACCGATTATATATGTAAGATTTTATTTAGGGGGAAAATCATCCAATGGAAAGCCATGGCGGGAAAAGTCCCGCCTTGGTTAGGTAAAAAGGAGTGTCGGACTCTTACTGACGAAAACCACCCCGTTACTACTCCTGCACTCCGAGCCGGAGCCCCGGCAACCCGTTAGGCCTTCCGCGGCTATATTTAAGAAAGATGGGGTGGTCATTTACTGTGTACCTTACTCACATTGATAATGTATTATGTCGCTTCCATAATTATGGTGGTAAGTAAAAACCTAAGTACATACCTTTTCTGTGTGCTTTATAAATCGTAATTCAATACATTCTGCAACACGTCTTTCGAGTGCATCATCATTACAATTCTTAATGCTAGACATTATTGTAAAAGGCCATTTTTTATAGGAACTGTTTAGTTCTTTTATGTTGTGACGCCAAAGACTCCAGAATATCTGCGAAAAAGAATTTCTGGATGACTGGTTTATGTCGTGAGTTCAGTACTTTGAGAACTTTTCTCAGGGCCTAAAATGCACAGACGAGAATCTTCGGTTTGCCTGACATCACGGATTCTGCTAATCCTCTTCGTCTGCTTTGTGAATAAATCAAAATAGTTTATAATGGATCTACATTAACAATATTTTCAATCAGATGTAAGTAGTTGAGACAAAGTCTTCAGATATCTTTTTCACACTCCTGAATCAATTTTATTCTCAGCGGATTAAAGCCCCTCGTTTGCACAGGTCCCAATAGGTAGGGCAGAATAATACACTATATAGTACCTACCTACTATCCAGTTGTCCCATTTAGCACAATCACTTGACCAAATAATCTCTACTATTAAAATAGTTAGGCTGGGTACTTTTAGTTATCTAATGAAATAAAGTTTACAAACTCAGATAAGTTGTAATTTGACTTACGTTTCTTTTTGGCATATCAAGCAATTCAAAATATCGGACACCATCATTAATGAACGTAGCTTTTAAAATTTGTTTTCTCGTTTTTTTAAACACTGATATCTTAATCGACTCCCATGGGTACATGGAAAGGATTTCTATGACACTCGACGGTCTGCAGAGTGGAGAACCTCCGCGCGAAGTCGTTTGTTTACCCATAATATCATGTTCATACGCAATTATAAATGCTCTTGAGGTTAAACCTTAAAATACACAAAATTAGATGATATACCTAAACAGTCCGCCAAGTGTAAAAAATACGATACGCCTTTTATTAAAAGAGACACTTTTGTTCAAATACCTAAATTAAATCAAGTGCTCGATTTCGAAGTACGTTAATGAATGGAATGTATTTATCAACTTACCGAGCTGCACTAAACGCAACATATCTTTACCATCTCTAGTTGTTTCCCTAAAGGGACTCTCAACTAAAATTGTATCATTAAATTCTCTATATTCACTGGTAATTAATTTTTTGATCGTTCCAAACAGCATAATGAAATGTGAATCGTTGTTATTTATCTAAAATCGATCAAGTTATGAATTAATTCATAAACTTAAATAATATTTACAGAATAAAGTCATTGTTTTGCAGTTAGGAGACATTATAAGTCTGACAGTGCTTATGACAGCATACAGCAATGAGTGTCTTTGGTTGATTATTATTTTTACCAATTTTTAATTTTATGTACCTATGTAAGAAGGTTGTATAAATATCCGTATTTCGTGTGTTCATAGGTGGCGCTGATCGCCTACCATGCCATCAATCTATACGTCTTCAGTCTATTTGGTTGCATTTGTCTTTCAAAACTTTTTTTGAAAAAAAGAAACATAGAATCTCGTCTGTGTGCATTTTTTTTTATAAAAAATATCGCTTTGCTACCCATGTCGGTAGATCACAAACATGGCATCGTGAAATATCTAAAATTAGTTGTATTGAGATTTCTCATCGTATAGGTGATTAAAGTTAATTAAGTATGCGTAGTATACAGATGATTAAGGATGTACGTCCGTCCGTTTAGCATAAAAGTACAAGGACGAACCAGAACACGGAGATTGGCGATTGATTACTATAGTTTACCAACTCACTGTCGCTAGAAGTCCAATAATATAAAATCAAATGACGTGGGCTCAATAAATAAAAAATGAAGTAGATTTTAAACCAGCATTTATTATGACTTAGGCATTCCACAGATATACATAATCGATTTAACCCATAATTACACATCGTTTCGGGACTAAAGACATTATTTATCTAATATATCGACACAATTTCTTTATACCTATCATAAAATAACACATACTTAATAGTAGTTACATGGTCCTTACATTTCAGACGTGGCACTACACTAAACACTTAAATTTTCAAAATCATAAATTAATTACTTCACTAACTTTGGTCGACTATTTAATTTCTAACCAAATGTCCTACATTTCACTAGATGTCTAAAATTAAAATCGTTATACATTTTATTAAAAAAAAAATAGGTTGAATCCTCATCGGCTGGCATCGGCCTGGAAGAAAAAAAAAGCAGAATTAGACATTAGTAAAATGGTCCCGATAAAAGGGAGTGGATAGAGAGACACATACATAAGACACGTGAACAACCATCACCTATAAAACAGTTAGTTTAAAACGTGTTTCCATGCATCTACAACATCAATATTGCATTATGGTGCACTTTAAATATAAAATCGTCTAAAAAATTAATTAAACCGTCTCACTATTTGAGCTTTGTAACGGAGACTTTCGGTATTGATATACAAGGCGGTAAAGGCAAAAGATTATGCCCATATCTAGCATGAAAGATTTTATCTACGGAACAACCACAATCTTCGGTAACATTAGGACTTCTATAGATATTTTCTTGATCCTGAAAAACAATTAGCATTTTCATATCGACTATTTGAGTAAAGCTACTATAAATATAATAAGTAGCTCCGCTACCTCTCTGTTATCATCTGTCTGTTCGGAAGCCAAAAGTTTTTTAAGAGTAAAATTTAAATCTACCTAATGCAACTATTGATTGTAATCCCGATTGAATGACTGACAAATTCAACAAACCGTTGTAAACTAATCAATAATGACGTGAACTAACATTGTCTGACAAAATAAAATCATCGCATGAGAACAAAAATGATCGAAGTTGTTATTGTTATCAATATCACCAACGGTATGAATTACAAAACATGTCACTGGTACGAGAACCAAAACAAACTCACACAATAGGAGAAACTGGCGGTCATAAGACAAGTAGATCTATAACAGTATCTACATAAAGACAAAGAGAAGAAATGCTGGGTCTTCTTATAAGAATGAACTTACTATATCGGAATATACCAGTTCTCATTGTACCTAACTATGTGGTAATAACTGATAATCAATGAATGTAGCTAGTACCTACAAATATTAATAAAGATTTAAATTGCATCATCCTACACGTTTTAGCATTTAATGAATCTATAATTTTATAGCATAGAATCAAAACACGTGAATTTACATAACAATTTCACTTTCATTTTTATGATTATTATTGTAATATAAATATAGCCTGATAATCTGAATGATATAACAGTACTTACCAGTGCTTCAGTCTTCTTACGTAAATTCGATCTAGATAGCGTCATAGCCAGTTCTGATTGTAACCTATTGGATATAGAGGTTTCTTCGTCTCCATTGTGAAGTCCATCTGTTTTGTCTACTCCATTAAGGAAGTCCAGTTTTGTAGGTTCCCGTCTAGTTGCACCTCCATATGCATATTCTCCGATTGTTACCGACACGGGACGAGCGTGCTTCTTCATCGTTGCTGTACCATTCGGAGCTTTAACAAAATAATTTGACGGTGGCTTAGGCAGTACATTCGAAGGATTCTTTAACTTATAAGATTCTAGTGACTCCATATCAGCCTTTTCGTCTTTCATATTTTTTATTTGTGGCGCTGGTGGCTCTGTTTTCTTAATATAATCTGGAGTGGGAGTTCTAGTGAGTGTGCCATTTTTTCTAAAATTTGGATTCGATAGAAGTTCAGACGTTATCGTTTTGGGAATGGGTTTTTGGTTCTCTATAACCTTGTGGATTCCATTTGTTCCATTTTGATGACCATTCATTCCATTTTGGTGACCATTCGTACCATTTGTAGTCGGCATCTGAAAATAAATGGAACAATTATTATAAGACAACTGTTAATGGATTGGAAACCACTTTTTACTAGTTTGCTAATTACCTACTCAAAACGAGTCACCTTAAGGGAATTATTATTACTAAGTAAAGAGCATTCAATGTCAAAATTCATCAAAAACAAAACATATTTTCAACCGTGCTACATGATATGACATTATCCGCAAGTAACATAAATAATACATCACAACATCATTATGGAGACGACCTCAACCTCAAATGAAGTCTCCGACAGTTAGGACCTAATGACGTGCAAAACTGGTTTAAATAGAAGCAACATCATAACATAATAACATTACAAAGTGCAAAAGCAACATGATTCTCCACATAAATTAATTATTTATCGATCAATGAAACTTGTTTCATTTGCTATCATATGATATCTATTGGGCTAGTATTAGCTGTGATGGTAGCAACAGAGTAGAATACTTCTGCCACCATCCCTATTTTCTCAGGTGTCGTAAAAACTGACTGCGAGACTACACATTCACCGAGATTGGGCAATAGCGCTCTCTAATAAACCAAGCAAGGATATTATTGGCCACCCTCGATTATAGAGGATTCATAGTCTAGGTGCCTTAACCTACGATGTGTCGGAATGCTGATCTACGTGAGACACAATGTGTTTTCTATTGTATCTCATATACCTACAGACAAGAGGTTAATCCTTATTAACTCGTCGAGTACCGGTTTTATAGACACAATTAAAGAACAATAGGTCGCGGTCACCGGTGACCGCTTGGTGTTTGACAGTTTAACTTATCGTCACAGGCTATTGACGAAATTTATTGCCGACTGATCTTATGAAGCATTCAGACTGCTGCATTTACGCTTAGTTAAGCATATTTTAAGGTAACATAGCATAGCTAGGTACGTATAGCTACAGTATTAAATTAAAAATGATATAAACTATTCTTATCTAAGGTTTGTTTTTATCTTGTTTAGCTTTGTTTGTTATTTTAAAAATGCTTCACTCAATAGTAGTCTTTGTTTTACCCAAAAAGTTATGAATGATATAATATAGTAATTAATAACACATTAATTGACATAATATTTTAGAAGCAGAGCTTAGGAAATCTATCAGAAGGAAGTCAATCACACATCATACAGTTAAATACATCGAACAGATTGATTACAATGAAGACATTTACACCAAATTAAACCTAACCTGCGCAAACGAGAGACGATTTTCCACTGAGGAAGAAATTCAATGGATTATAAGAGAGGACTTGACTTAACTACGTGACGGTATATCGGCCGTGGGCCGACGTTTGACCACTCTCTCACCTGACGGTAAGCGATGATGCGGTATGCAATGGGGCACTTCGTCCCATAAGCAACTGATTCACTCGGGCTTTGAAGGCGGGGTGTGTTCAAGGCTCGAGTATACAATATAATACTAAGGTATACAGGAAATTCAGGCTCTGGCAAAGAATTCCACTCCTTAGCAGTACGCACAAGGAAACTTGATGCAAAGCGCTTCGTGCGTGTGGGTGGGATATCTACCACAAATCGTTGACAATCATGAGTCCTCTTTCTTGACTATCGTTAGGTTATAGTTATATTTTGTAAGTAGGTAATCTACGTGAATTTACAAAATAACTCCAGTCGTCTCTCGTCTGCCTAAGCTTTTAAGGTCAATAAGGTAGAGACTCGTTTACTTACAGGCGGTGGAGGTGGAGGATTGTCCATAGCTTCCTTCTTTGATGGTACATGGTTGTTATTGGTCACCTCTGGTGCTGGCTCTGCCTTCCTCAAAGGCAGGGTCTGCTGACGATCCTATAGACAAAATTATAAACATTTAGTTAGGTAGGTAAATAGATAAAATATATAGATAAAATAAGACCTATCTATTTTTATCCTATTGACTTCTAGCTTTTTAGTGTCGACATTGTTAACTATAAAAATCGGTCACCAAGTCGTGAAAATTTTTAATTTTTAATAGACTTTCCCCCTTTTTTATTTTCTTGTTAAGTCTCACCATTAGAACAAATTGAAGACAAATTGTATTAACATTTAGTGAAATAGTATTGTTTTTAAAGTTTCGTAAATAGAACCCTATTTCTTCTTCCAGCATCCATTACTATATCAGTTAATTTTAATAGAAAAATCCTAATTATGCACCACACGGTACCTATTACTACTCTAGTATTGATACTCTAAGAACGCATATAATGTTTACCTTATGTTACGTAAAACAAAATGAAATATTTCCATCCCATTACCGCAAAAAAATAACCAGCCAATTTTGCGGTAAAATAAGTAGGAAAACGCCAAATGAACTAATCTAATCGGTATTGACATTGAACTTTGACCAAACATATAATAACCATTAGGCAAAGGAAGTAGGTATTGGAATTAGAGGCTAAACAGCAAAAAAAAGGAACTAACGATCACCTATGAACGTGAACAAAACTGAAGGCTATGTTTTAAACTATTACAGTACAAACGCATTATAACTACAATACATGATAAGCTCCACACTACACACACACACACACATACATAGCGGTTATATTTGCCAACAGCCTGTGTTACATAAACACCGTTTGTATGCGCACACGCCAGTTCCACGGATTTAATTGTCTTTCTACGATTAGGTTCATTACAGAGGAATTTACAAAGCAAACTTCTGGTATCCTCTTGTTGTATATGATTACTTAATTGGTGCATCATTTAATATACTATGATGTAATACATAAAATGAATCTCATAAAGTTATATCTTGATATAATATTGACCTCCTGAGTGCCGGTAGGTATATGAGACACAATAAAAAACACAATGTGTCTCGCTTAGATCTACGTTCCGTACCACGGGTTAATCAATATTGAGAATAATTATTACCTACTCAATTATTTCTAGGGAAGCCACTACGGATTCCGTGCAAACTTACCTACAGTTTGCCCAGAAATTAAAAGGAAAAGGGACAAAACTTTGGAACATATTGTGCTGATCTCATACCTTATTGAGAAGTTTGAAAACAAGCGAAATGACAACACACGATGACAAATAATTTGTTTTGTTTTTCCATGCACATTTAGTGTGTCTACCACCTACGACCATTTATTAATGAAGACTTCAACGTGCCAAATATCACTTGGCTTTTCCCCAAAATCTGTTGCCAGTAGCACTCAAGTAATTTACAATTAATCAAATCAAATGAACGATAACGATTTTAACCTAGCATTAAGGTTGTCGGTGCATAAACACAACACAATAACAATATTTAATCAAATACCAATATCAATGATAAATGAATCATTAAGTCGACACTCCCAAAGGTATAAATGGCGTTAATCATAATTATCAATTTAGAATTTACAGATAAGACTTTGAATCAAGACTTCAGTTGATTATTCACGCATAAGTCATTGATAAAGTGATCTAATACAAAAAGGCATCCTTTTAGATCTAGATATAGATAGGAAAGACTTACGAATCAATACAACACATTAATACATTGTACTTTCGGACTAAGAAATTCTTAGTCATAACTAGGTCTTAAGTCCAGTTGAGACAAGCCCTGTATAAGTAGGTACTGGGTAAAATGACCATAATAATAGTTCCGAGCTCCGGCCGCATAGAAATTGAACAGCTCTAGAGAGTTTGCTCTCGAAAGCTGTATCATTTATGTCTCATTTACACAAGACGAGTCTACTTGTAGTAAATGTGCCTAGCAACTAGCAAACCAAGCACTATCAAAGAAAAATTCACAGAAAACAAAGCTATACCAACACGCTTTGTCAGCCGATAAGGCGTTAATCCGATAACCAAATCTAATTAGGAACCGGAAGGTTTTTCCTTAATTTAAAGGAAAATTGATTAAATAAATACGTGCACCAAATTCTAGGAGGAAAACGATTTCTAAAGACTTTCTCGTATTCGACATCGACAGGCCGTGACCGTCTACCTACTGCTGGACTTGGACTCTGTACCTTCTATGAGCCTTCTCTATGAGTCTATGTAAAAGAGTTTGCTAATCTTTATACAGGGCAAACATTTTAGGCTTTGATTATTATCTAGTATATGTATAAACACAAACAAATGTGATCTAATTATGATCTAACAAATGTTCAATCAAAACAAATCTCGTGAACATTGTTTTATTCTGGCAATGTAAATAACGTTTAGATTGTCTCCCAAGTGACATGTAGGTAAAAGGAGTTAAATACGGTAGCATATCGGAATTAATAATTACAATAAAAAACAAATACGTGTATTAAAGGGTGATTAAAAAGATTATGATTATGTTTAGTGCAATACAATAAATTGGATGAATCTGAATTTTCTACCGTTAAGCTACCTACATGCACAACTTTATTGATAAAATGCATGTAGCATTTTATTCTTTCGTAGTAAATCCTTCACTTGAATTGCTTAGAAGCCTCGTCCAAACACCGATGAGATCATCTAATGATAAATGTATGAAATTATCTATAATGCTATGGAAATACCGAACTTTTCCTATATGTTCGTATATTTCAGCCTTCCTCAATAAAATATCCAAGGTATTTTTTACACATCCTTTATGCAATTAGTTGCCAATTAGAGTGTTAAACTAATGGACAATTCGAGGAATCTTGCTGTATTTTTATATTTGTTCTTCATCATATAAAATCATTTTTCCTCTTAAGAAATATCTAGCCTCTAGTGATGGTTTATCTATAGTTATTTGCTGAAATTATTTGAAAATGCAAGTTTCACGTGACAAGCAAGTTGTTCGACATGATAATGTATGTATTTACGAGCACTTTACGTAGATCAGATATATCTTTTGTTTGTTCAATCATGAGGTAAGTACATGAGTGAAATTAGTGGAAGAGATAATATCATCAGCAATGAAAACGTTGCGTTATCGATATCCTGCAATCAGTCAAAACGTGGATAATCAGATAAGTGGTAAAAACACTGAGTGCCTCACTACACCGGTCGATATACAATACATGTTATGTTCTGATGTGCGTACCTACACGAGTTTTTCTCACTTTGTTGATATTTTTGACGACCATGACGTCAAAGATCTTTGCTACAGAAAAACTAAAAGGTGAACAATAAGACAATTAATAAATTCAAGATCATCTAACACTAATATTTGTGTATTATTTACGTTTACGCTAGTATACAAAATAAAAAAGAATGATCGTCAATTTAAAAACCTTTCTATCGATTCTTTACTCGTACTTAATCATTAAAATCATTGCCCAAGCTTCAACTCGGTAGGCAAGTAGGCATGTACCTATATACTTATTTTGTTTCGCTCCAATAATAATAAGAACATTTTATACATAGTCAACTTACTTCATAGCACTGTATGATAACCAAAGGCTTCGATTTACTTGTATTCTTCATGTTTTCAGTTACGATTTACAGAAACACAAGTCTTTACACAAATCACCACATCACTTATACAAATGATCACTCGAGACCGATACAAATATCCATTTTACGAAAATAATAATTAGTATTCGAACGTAGTATTGAAATCACAAAAATAATAGTTAAGAGCGCGCCAAGGTCGCATATATTTTCCCCGAAGCGTGGAAAATCGTAGGAAAATTATGAGCGAGCCAGTGTCGAGATACGTGTTGTGCGACCGCGGCGGAGTGCAGCGAGACTGTGCGACCGACCGGACCGAGCACTCCGAGCAGCAATCACACGGCCAACGATGCCGCGTGCCCTCGTCGACCGCTTACTCACTGCCGTTATCAGTGCAAAGCAAAATCTAACGAAACATTGGCCGGACCGGACGCTGCACGCGCTGCCGTGCCCACGACCGACCATAAAAACTCCATATCAACCAGCAACAACGCGAGCTATTTGTCTACTTTATAATAAGTGCAGAAACAATTTTGCCTCGTTCTTCGACGCGATCATTAGACCAAATCAGCAAGTTAAACGATGGCTGCAGAGCCAAGACTAATTTGAATACTTATTCAGTCGCTATTAAAATTTTTGTTTTGTGACGTAGTCTTCGTTTTGTTTAATGATCTTCACAATGATACTGGACGACCGTTAGTTATTGATTTAACCATAATATCCGTGTCCATCGCGTGCAAATTGACATCCATTAAACTAAGAATAGATCTTTTATGGGAAAGTCTCGAAAAACAGTGATGATTTTAATCACATAACATAACATCACGCCTTTTTATCCCCGAAGGGGTAGGCAGAGGTGCACATTTCAGCACTTAATGTCACTGTACAATGTAACACCCACTTTTCACTATTTATGTTATGAGTCCCATGTAATAGGGGGTGAGCCTATTGCCATATACCGGGCACATTTTTCCAAACTCCGTGCTACTACTGAGATTTTTAAAAACCCAGTAATACTTTGCCCGACCCGGGAATCGAACCCGAGACCCCTTGCCCGGCAGTCGCACTTGCGACCACTCGGCCAATGAGGCAGTCTTGCAGCATTTTAATCACAGCCGCACTAAACTATTGTCCGTGTAATTAGATAATCATGAAATATCTCTAGATCACTCGAGTCTCACAACAAAAGCTATTGTAAGCGGTATCAAGATCGAAAGGTAACGTGACTAAAACTAACTGCAAGCCATCGACGTTATCCAGCCTGCTATAAACAAACTTAGTTATTTATTAGTTACTTAATTGAATAACGGAACTATAACGCGAAGCTTGAGTATTAATAACTTTATTTTTAAACTAAATAACTAGTTTGATAAATATCTGACTTGGAATGGAACACGATCATAATAAAACGAACCTTGCGAACGATAATTGAAAATGTCGTTTTCTATGCCCGCAATACAGAGATAACATTTTGGAGTAATAAACCTAGTGATGGTTATGATCCCTTAGTTAGAGGTGAAACCTGGCTAGAGAGTTAAGCCCACGAAACGTACGAAAGAGGTCTTTTTTATTTTTCATGTGGGTTTTCCCTAGCCGATACATAGGTACCTATTTTATAGAAAAACTGATTTTTGCTATCGTGTTCAGTTTTGCAAATACATTACGTTATGTAATCATGCAGTAATAAATGATTCGTGTCGAAGTGACCCAATTAATTTCGTAAGGCAATTGTCTTGAAACTTATTGTTACATAACCCAGATCACTTTACAATGAATAAGTTGCACCAGTAGGTAATATAGTGAGAAAACTTCTATTATAAAAGGCAAAATATGCCTTAATTAAAAATAAGAATTTAAACTACGTTTTTAAGTTAATTAAAGTGTAAGTTTTTATTTTATATCTTCCTGGGATTTAATGAGGCAGTGAAGCGTGAATGACGGATAGGTAGTCAGGGTTAGCCTGCAGAAATAGACATTTATGCGGGCTTAGTGTCTGAATATGTGATATTTTTAAATTTGTAATAGGTAAATGGAAACTGAAAAGGATTAGGTGCAAAATTCCAAGCTAGGTATCAATACCTACAATAAAATAAAGAGTTTTTGTTTCTTTGTATTAAATAGACTCCAAAACTACCAGATTCATTTGGAAAATTCTTTCACCAATGGTTACTCTTGGTCACCAAAGGTTACTCTTCAGGAAGTAACATAAGCCAGTTTTTTCCCGATATTTGCCGAGGATCAAGATTAAAACCTTCTCGAAATAAATCCTTTGAATTCCACACGGACAAAGCCAAAGCAGAAAGATAGTGGAAGAATAATGTGCATTTGAATAGCCAATGCCGTGCAAAAGTAATCATAAAATCAACACACGTAATACGAAACACGTCTGGACCTATTTACATTAGAATATCAAGCATATTCACAATGCACATGCGTAGGATCACGAGTACGATCGTTAAAACTTATCCTCAAGTTTCGAAATGAGAATAAAATAACTACAACTCGTATGAGGATGGTCTCGACAAACTGGTTTAAGTACTATAATTTTACAGCCTGTATATTTTCCTTTAATCTTCTATTTAATTGCAGCGTGGATGTTGAACTTATATTTATGAATAAACGATAGACTAGTTTTATTTTACAGTCTAGAAAAGTATGATAAAAATAAAAAAGTTATCTATTCGCTATTACGGTAGAATATTGTCGTCAGATATTAAAAATGTACTTTACAAAGATTAGCAGTCAGTTCGATCATGGCTGTCAATTAAAACCACTATGAAATAATCACAGAACATATAAAGGTGGAAATAATAGTGAACGTGCCGATTGCCGATGTTTAACATTATGAGTTTTAAGAATACACTGTTATAATAATATAAGAAGGTAAAATAGTCACTGATTCTGTTATCAATAGACATCGTTCAGAGGCATCTGCAGATGTATACTCATAATATGCTGGTATTAGCAACAAGTTTTACAAGTATTAATATTATGCCTGTCGCCGAAAAAAACAAATGAATCCTTGCAGCACTAGCGCCTATTCGGTGGTTGAGATCGCCCAAAATCATGTTACGATCATTCGGTTAAGGATGCAGAAAATGAAGGATGTATGGTGCATGCAAAACTATGGGCAAATCCTACGTAAGAATATGTTTGTAAGAGGAGAATGTATAAAGCTTTGGAATGGGGGATTCCATCCTACGTCAAACCTCTAAAGGAAAAGACGTCATATCAAAAGAAACGATATATTATTATGACAGAATGTAGGCACTAAAGATGATATGATAACGAACACTTTGTTCTTTGTTCTTTTTTTTTCTGGTCCTCTTTCAACACCCCTTTGGAAATAAAAAATATATACCAATGTGGTCACATGATCAAAGATTTAACTAGTAGATATAAAATTCAGTATCTGCTAAAATGGTGAGCCTAAGAATGTGGGTGCGGATCGCGATAACTTTCGCTTTAATTACCAATTAGAGATAAATAACTATCGTATCTATTATCATCTAAAACAGAATTGAAATATTAGAAACAAAGAAGATTATAGACTTTAAGCTGATAAAATAATTACAGAAAAATATGTTCACATAATTTATAAAAATCTTATCAATATTAATAAAAAATAAGGAAAAAATTGCAAAATTGAAGATTTCATAGATAGTGTAAAAGACATTCCTTTGGCCAAATATTTGATGTATCTACGGTTTACGATATCTTGGATGGGAACTCCGTTGTAAACAAATACGACAATTCTTTGAATTGAAGACGTGCAACATCACTAACTATACACATTGGTAAACCAGATTCCTATCTACCTAATTAATTATACGTTTTCGTCATTCATAATTACCAATATTAGATAAGTGTACGTAAATTAGTTCGTAGTTTCCGTTGCTTCATAAAAAAGGCAGTTAATAATGCGGTCGTACTTACCAATGGCTCTGCTTCGTTGTTTTGTGTGTCTGTGGTTTTTTCACCGTTGTCTATGCTAGCAAACATTTTCCTGTGCACTTTTTTAAATTCGTCCATTAATGCATCATGCTGTTTTTTCTTCTCATCCGTTGGCTTTGGCGGAGGTGGCTTTTTTGCCGGCGGTGGTGGTGCGTTTGACTCAGAATTTGTTTTCTTCTTATTCTAGAGAAGTAATACTTCGATTAATGTTCTGTTGTGATTATTAAAATGATCTAAAGAAGAATGTTCTGAAGTTGTTTCACATGCAGCACTATTATTGTTACAAGCAAGTGTCTCAGTCTTACAGTCAGACTGCGACAAAGACTTGTATGTACAAGATGTTTAAACTCTTAACTACCTTTTAATATCTGAATAACTTATCTGGATAAGCCTAAATAACGCACATAATACAGGTAAATGTATTTGCGTAGTTGCGTGGTTTCATACAACCCATTTAACACCTAACTACGTAAAAAGATTATAAGTGTACATGACAATGGTCTAATCTAAAAATGACACCCGACATTATCAGTGCTCGACTTTCGACATAATCTTTAAATTCTGCGAAGAGAAAGTGTAAATAACCAGATGATCCTTTAAAGCGCACGTTCTTAATTTTATCAGTCTCACCTTGTATGTCTAGGTACCTTTTAAGGCTACTTACCATCTTACGTCGCTGTATCTCTTCGGCAATGGCACTTGATAACGTAGCTGAACTAGACAAACTTACTGAATCCAAATTACAATCGTTTTTCAAAGGGGGTGGATAGTTACACGCATTCTTCCCGCAAGTCGTTGTACTAGTGTGGTGTACTTCCACGACTATTGTTTTCTTTTCGTTGTCTCGATTCGTATGGTTCGCTGTAAAAGCATTTTTCCTAGGCGTCTGGTTATCGTAACTACACTGTATCATGGTCCCATCTTCAGTCAAATTGATTATTGTCCTATTTGACGGGCTAGTAACATATTCCTTCTTAGATTTGCTTCGTTGATTACTCTTATTTTCATACGTATGAGGATTGTTTGGTATGCTAGGACTATCGTAGTCAGGTTCTATGTCAGAAGGGGCGTCCGCATCAAAGTTATGGATGTCACCGTTTTTCCATTCAAAATCTAAACTGTCCCATGTTCTTCTTTTCAGTCTGTTCATGGTTAATCTGCAATTAAAACGAAATATTAATGCCTATTTCCTTTACAGACAAATTAAATGTATTATCTTTTTTTGTACTTAATATAAACTCTTGCTATTGGTTTTTGTCCAATTATCTTTAAGATATCTGCTGCTTACACTAGAGGTATATTTTACTGAATTTAAATACTTTACAAAGATCTAACGAAATTAATTACATAACATAACATCACGCCTTTTATCCTCGAAGGGTTATTATTATTAGGCAGAGGTGTACATTGTTCCACTGTACAATGTAACACCCATTTTTCACTATTTATGTTATGGTCCCATGTAATAGGGGGTAAGCCTATTGCCATATACCGGTCACAATTCCAGTCTCCGTGCTGCTACTGAGATTTTTTTAAACGAAATTAATTATCGTTATAAATATAAAAAAACATTATTTTTACCTGTCAGCGCGGTCAGCAGCCTCTTCAGCGACGCTCGCGAGGCGCCTGCACAGTGCTGCAGGCGGGGCTAAAGGTACGTGCGGCACAATAGGTGCAGGGCTCCGCTCTCCAGCAGCTGATGAAGCAGAACTATTGTAGCCAGAGCTCTCTGGAGACACCAGGTCTGTACCAGCACCTTCCCGGATAACTAGCTCTAGACGGCCCGTCGCTTTCATAGCTGATATTGCCTGTAGGATGAAAAAAAAATTAATAATTGTACTAATATTTTAACGTGAAAGTTAGTATGTTTGTTTATGTATGTTTGTGACTCCTTCACGTCAAAACGGCTAAAGGGATCGGGATGCAATCTGGAATAAGGGTAGATTAAGGTCTGTATAATATACTAATTGGATTTGAATTTGAATTGAATTGAATTTTGGAGAGAGCTATGCTCGGGGTTTCATTGCGCTACAAAATCCGAAATATGGAAATTCGCCAAAGAACAAGAGTTACCGACATAGCTCGCAAAATCTGCAGACTAAAGTGGCAATGGGCAGGCCTCCCGCTAGGTGGACCGACGACATCGCCAGAGTTGCGGGGAGCCAGTGGATGCGGGTGGCGAGTTGTCGTTCGACGTGGAGGGCTAAGGGGGAGGCCTTTGTCCAGCAGTGGACGTCTTCCGGCTGTTGATGATGATGATGATGAATTTACTAATTACTTCGGTCTACAGTTACAGCGTAAAGTCCACTGCGGGCAACGTAATATTCATCATCATCAGTCTATAAATGCCCACTTCTGAGCAAAGGCCTCTTCTTCTCACAAGGAGAAGGTTAGAGTATTAATCACCACGCTTGCTCAATGCGGGTTGGCGATTTCAAACTTATAATATGAAATTATAAGTTCAGGTTTCTTCACAATATTTTCCTTCACCGTCTGTCTAAATATTCTAAGAAAGTAGATATAACTCGGAAATAATCACATTGGTACTTGCCGGGTATCGAACCCGCACCTTCATGCACGAGAGGTGCCCACCTCAACCTCCGGGCCACCACGACACTGCATTCGACATACTTATATTTGCATTTGGTACAATAATTGTGTCTAGGTATTGCACACATGTACAATGAACTTTGTTTAATAATTTTAATATCCTTGTACCCAGGATATTAAAGTATAATCATACCAAGTTTCATCGCAGTCGAAACGGTAGGTAGTCTTTGCGTGATGCGTGAACATACAGAAAGACATAAAAAATCATATTATTGGGTTCGGTGTCTATCCTACTATTTATTATTTTTAAATTTTCAATATACAGAATTTACACATCTACAGTTTTATTATAAGTGTAGATATAGAGACATAGATTGCACAGCTGACTACAGTCATCGAATTCAAATTGAAAGACAGAACAAACTTTTAAGACAAAAAATCTAGAATATATTTTGGTGCCTTTTAAATATTAAAAAATATATCAAAATTCAAAATTGCTCCCATAAATCACGGTTAATTAATTTCGAGTACTCACAATGATATGAACGTATTGATAAGCACGAAGGTAAACTCTGATACGATACAAAAATTCATTAAATTAGTCATCATTACTAGCATAAAACTAGGTCTGATGTAGTAATATGTCAAGAATGACATATTACTCATTATTGGTTGGGAGATAACAGTTATATGGACCTAATCATTGATTCAATACCTATTACACTCTATTATTACTTACACAGAACATATAAAGGAGGACTATTATAAGCGCTACATAGGCAAAATTCAATTTTTGAAAGAATAGGCCGGCAGACGACCGGACGAATCAACTGATGGAAAGCAAGCGGCTCCGTCCATGGCCAAACATCCGATTTTTAATTCCAGAATAAGAGTAGACATGTTTATCCTGGGATTAAAACTCTTGCCAATAAAATAATAACTTTAGTCTACCAGACATTCGATAAAAAAGACAAGCAACTTTGGACAAGGTCAGGATGTCCAACATATCAATTAAAGTTTTTTGTAGACGTCCACCAAAACGTAAATCTTCAAAATGTTCGAATAGGTATTGCATAGTTTAATCAAGCAAGTGTAAACCGTAATTTCTCTTTTAACTAAGTAGGGCCTCTACCTTTTAACTATATTTATTATGTATATACATACACGTAAAGTCCGGGTGTATGTGCACACATAAAATATGGCGTTTTAAAATTATGGGTACAATAATTTGACCTCAAAACCATCGATATAAAGGTAAAGGATATTCACCTCGTTGAAGGAAACGTTGGAGAAATCCAGGGCGTTACATGATAAGATCTGATCGCCCGGTCGCAGGCCTGCCTCACGCGCGATACCGCCTTCCCGCACGAATTGCACAAATATACCCGGCTTCCACTCCGGACCTTTGCAGATTCTGAAACAAACAGTTTTTACAACATAAACATGGTAATATGCTACATAATTTACATTCAGTTCACGAAGGTATTAATCAGTTATAGGTATGGAATCTTTTAAATGGCTAAAAGATACATATATATATCTACAAGAGTGAAGGCGTAACTTTTAAACTAGTACGATTAGCACTACAAATTGGCAGTCAGTAAAGTTTTTTCCAAGTAAAAATCTACACGGGATAATATAACAGCTATGACTGATACACATCCTGTCACTGTGCACCGTGCGGCTTTTAAAACTAACGAGTCCACACCCATAAGTATAGCTCACGGCTTTGACACCAAGATATCTACAGCAAAAACATAATCATACCAAATATCATCTAAATTCATTTAGCCCTCGTATCCCGCCATTGATTGTAATCACGCTGAAATGGCGTATAAAAACTTTTTATAATATTTGTAGAAGGAGTACTGACCCGCAGCCAAGCTTAGCTCTGGGGGGCACGAGTATAGACAGCCTCATGTCCGTCAGTCTCTCGTTGTCGTGACACAGGGTCGGTGAGGACGACACGTCGGAGCTCAGCGACGCTCGCTCCGACACGAACTGCCATGACAATGGCTCATGCGGCTTGCTGAAATGCGGAAAACGTGATCAAACAAATGCGCACACCTATGTACACAAGCAAACGTTCACGGCTAAGTAAGTGTACTTACTCTTTGACAGGTAACATCCCCACATCTGCAACAAAAATAAATAAAAGTGAAAATACAACTTAACATAATGACGAAATGAATACCGACACGATAGACATGGTGATACTTTCGCGCGAGAATTGTGTAAGGGATTTATAAGAATCGATAAAAAATACCTAAGGAAATATTTTAGTTAGCTAGTGTTGTTATTGTCATAGATATGTTGCAAGATTGTAGCCAAGCTGGGCATTTATGAAATGTTTCGGAATTCTGAACAATCACTGGGCACCGGGCCTCATTTCATCTGTCATAATTCGTTTTACGCAACACTACCTAATAGACAATGTTCATAGGCACACGCCCACGCGCTTTCACGACAGTTATAAAATCTCTGCGGCTTCTATTACCGGTCGAGTCTCATACGATTTGATTAATTATCATAATTTTATTCACTTTAACATTGTCAGACGATTCGCCTACGTATTGAAGCGTCATAGCAAACTGAGTCTAGTTGCGTAATAACTTCAGTTATTATTATAGCATTGATATAGAAAACGTATTCACTTTTAATATGCTAATTTATTCGTTAATCAACTAAAAACTTCAATCAACATCTCCTAAATAATTTATTAGTGTTATGTCATAATAGTCAGATACTCAAGTTTTATTAAAAAGTTTATACGCATTACGCATGCATAATAAATACATTGATCATCGCGGGACTGTTGATAGTATTATATCATGCGTTTATTTCTATATTACTTGTATGTATAAATATTTCCCACAAACGTCTACAGTGAAATGAAATATTACATCTTAAAAATAATCGTCTCATCTGGCAGGTGAATTGATGTTGCATGATTACGTATATTCGAGGTTGGATGCTGTCCGTCCCACTGATATAAATTCTTATCTTTTCTCAGTTACATAAACACAATGATAGAATTATTTGACGTTATTTGCAAAGATTCAAGTAAGTCTGATAGTAAATCCATTGATTTTAAAGAAAACAAAAATGATATCTTAAAGAAAAATGTCACATGGGCGACATCTAGAATAAAAACACGAGATAAATAGGGGTCAATTTTGTGTTTCACACACATATTATTCGATTATTTAATTTAGGCATTAGTTATTGTGTAGTATATTTTGAATTAGTTTGAATGGTCCGGTAAGAGGTGTAAATATAGCCTAATATAGGTAAGGTAGTTACTCACGTCTAACTTTGATCTTGAGTCGTGACTGTGCAGCGAGGTAGTGCACCAGCTCACCGTGCACCGCATCGTCCACTCGATAGCCATTCACACTCACTAGCTGATCTCCCACCTGCAAACATGAAAATACAGACTTCACTTAAAATCCATAGAAATATGTACAAAACATAACATTCGTGTCTTATCATCCTAGGAGTAGATAGAGGTGGACGTCATTACATAGTAAAAAACAAAGTCGCTATCCACCGTCTGTCTGTCCCAATGTATGCTTAAATCTTTAAAACTACGCAACCGATTTTGATGCGGTTTTTTTTAATAGAGTGATTCTTAAAGAAGGTTTATATGTATAATACATATTACACCCGTGCGAAGGCGTTCGGGTCGCTAGTATTAAATAAATATATATAAGATTTGATTGTATACGGAGCATAACTCTCCGTGCTTGTTAGCATGGAGCCTGAAGTTTTATTTTTATAAACTACCTTATAATTTTCCTACGTAAGACCTTTTTGCGATTACTCGATTAACTTAATATTCAGTAAATTGATATTAGCAGAAACTCAATTTAGTAGAAAGTAAATAAAATAACAGGAAATAGATAAAGTCATGCTAAGTTTTTCCCCAAAAGTTATAGATAGCCTTAGGTCACAGATTCTAGCCTACTGATGCGTACGAAACGACCTAAAAACTGATTAATCATTTCATCAATTAGACCTCGTATTTATTTAGCAGTTGCCTTGCAATTATTATTTCGACGCTATAACAAGAAAATAGACTTTATTTACTTCCAAATAGTTACTAAAATTCAAGTATTTTAAAGGAAAGTTTCTTCTCTATAAGTAGGTAGGTTTTACTTGTAATTGTTTCCGAACTTTCAGACGACCATAAGTTATTCTATGACACAATGCTTCTCTTAGAAAGGTTCTGAACAAAACGTCATTCATTATTGTAAGACTGCATTTCTTGACACCTAGGTAGGTATGCCAATAATAATACAGATGCTAGTCTTTATGTTCCGTCAAAATGTTCTCTTCATTTTACTCTCTTTACCAAAATTTCACACATGTTTGAAAATTAAACAGTTCGGTTTGACATACATCGGTCGGTAGTTGAATAGTTTAGCAAGTCATGTCGATTGGAAAATCGTCTTAAACGTCGTCAGCTCTAGCTCATGTTTTATCCTCATACTTTTTTTTTTAATCTCATTTATCCTCATACTTAATTACTTAATATTCGATTATTCACCATATTCACCTCATCATGGTTTCACACACCACACCATACATTGTACAGTGGCATTAAGTGCCGTAATGTACACCTCTGCCCGAAGGAATTTATATGTTCACCTCATCACCACAAATTCTTGATTTTCAAATGTGTAGTTGCCGGCCTATAAGTATATTTAAAATGTTGACACTCGTACCTTATAAAAATTGGGTTACCGAAAAAAGCAAACCTTATCCAAACTTTTATTTTGACCTCACTTAGTTATTTAAGTAAAAGAGGTAGATTTAACTAAGTGAGGTCAAAATAAAAATCCATATATAAATAAGGAGTCCATTTGGACTCCTTAGCTGTAGTACCATTATTTAGATTTAACTAAACCGCTTAGCGCATTTGACCCACACCTACGTAGGTATGGTAGGTACCAAGTAGTAACAACATGACATGAATCGTGAAAACATAATTTGCAAGAACGCCGAGAAAATTGTAGCAGGTTCGTAAATAATTTCTCAGGTGTTGAAACAACAATGGACTAGGCACATGTAGTTATTGCTTTCAAGTGGCGTTGCGCCATGCCAAAGAACGGTAGCAGCCATAGTAACTTGACGCAACTACAAGATAAAAGAACTATGATAACGCTTACCAGCGACAAGGTCTAAAATAATGGTAATAATTACCCATAACATCATATTGTTCTACAAAGTAGTTGATGAGTATACAATCCTATAGCAAATTCGTCAAGGCTGTGATCTTTTAAACTTAGAAGTCCGATTCCCAAAAATTTGTTGATATTTTTCAACAAATTGGTCAATCCGTAATTAGTTTACTTATCATGCGCTTGTAGCCGAAACGTCGAAAACTCTAATAGTCAATATGGCATATATCCCACTTCTAAATCTAATGAGAATTCATTTTAGCGGCCCCAAATAAAACCAGATTCAACTAGAAATCAATCTTTGAAGACACAACTTCAAAAACCGATTTTAGCGAATGCAGCATTGCAGCTTCATTCAATGTAAGTATTGTGTACTTCGAACACCTGTTCAAAATCACTTACTATCTGTTCAAAAGAAAAGAAGGGCAAGACCTTATTTGTAATGATTGCTCAGAAAAAGTACTTTTACCTTCTATTGGTTTGGGCATTGTTACCAAATCGTCATTGACTTCTAAAGATCTTATGCATGATGGAATGCCGCTCACAGTCGTAGTCTATCCAAGATTTGGGCTATTAAATAAAAGCAAAACGTCAGTGCGTTTAGAGAAACACATTCTGTGGCTTTCTTTTATTAGATAGTATTGATTTCTGTCTGTACACCTAAATTAGTTAACTACGTTATTTATGTTGTACGCCTATCCTTAGATATTAGAGTCGAAATAGATATTAGAGAAACGCATAATGAATTATTCGCAGCTCCGAGTTTCTAAGCGTTTAGCGTTAGTTGTTATGTAAAGTTCGGCTCACAACTCAGGGACAGAAGCAGTGGCCCGTGGCCTACTTTTCTCGACCGTCGGTTGTTCTAAGGGATTACAAGCGATATTACTTTTAAGAAAGCCTTTTGTAAACCCATTCAATGGAATAGATGCGGAATCGTGTTTTATAGCACAAGAAACGAATAAGACAATTATTTTACACTTTGACTGATGAGATCGTAAAATATGAAATTGGATATTAATCACCGTGGTTAAAGAAGAACTTTTACTTCATAAATTTTATTTTTATTGTGGTCATAATACTAATAACTCTTAATACCCAGTATATCGCTGTATCATACTTAATTTATTACTATCAGTACAAACTTAAATGATCATTTATCATAGAATAACATCTCATATGTTTTTGCTGAGTTCTATCGCGTGTTTCGTACGTTCACCTTAACAGCTGTTACGATATTGCAATTCACTGTAGCCGACTCTGCATCGTTCATCATCAGATCGGCATAGGGTAGAACTTTCGTCAGTTTCATCACGTAGTTGGCGAGCGCAAAGAAGCCGGACAGGTCGGACAGTGCCCCACATATCGGACAACTTTCGATCAGACTTTCGTTACATACAAGTTGTCTTTTTTGCCAGTGACGCAAAAGAACGCCAGACTCCACGACGCCCGGCCCTCCCAATGAATTCACTTTCTTTTTGGAATGGGTTTGATTGATATATTTTACTTTATTGTGGATGAACTCACATTAGGAAACCACTGTACCTATGTTCTTCTTTGCCTCGACATTGCTTTACTGCAGCAAGTGAAATGTACGCCGTTAATTAAATTACAATAGTGCAAGCTGACTGCCAACTATAACAAGTGCACACTACAATAGCTATAACATATGACGTCACGTTTGTCTGAACCATTCTGAAGCAGGTAATGGCGATGTGAAAAGTAATCAAGTGAGTCACAGCGTCAATATATTTTCAATACAGCTGCTATGCTAAGTACTCTATTTACTTTTTATAGTGCAATGTGGCCTTGTTGATACAATATTATAGGTACCTTTTTATCGCGAAAAAACGATATTGTTTCACAACTAGCGAGTTAGAAACATACGAATTGAAATAGTTATTTCCTGATTCATTTTGAAGTGGTCATGGTTTTCTAAAATATGATTACCAAAATCTTTATGTACGCAATGCTTATAGACTTGTAGGTTTAACATCCCATTCACTTGAATTAAAACGTTTTGCAATTTAAAATACAGATCGCTAACCATGTGTGTGTTCTCTGAAGGACAACATTAGCACTTTTCTATTTTAGCAAATGTTATACAAGAAGTATTAAGCCGAAGAGGCGCACGCGAACGGAAAGCGGTAGAAAGTCGCCATACACAGTAATTGAGTGACTCACGCACTGGACACGTTCACGACCTGCCTCATGGGAACATGGACTATTTACAAATTGTCACATAATTGCATCGATTTGCTGCCTTCCCGCACTTAACATGCCATGGATGTATACTATTGGAAATGTTTAAGTATTTAATAAGTATATGATAAATTGTTGGGTTTCATATCCTGTCGCGTGCATGGTAGCAGTTTAAGAGCATTCACTCGTAAGTTGAGAAAATGATTGCAGTCATTTACATCTCAATACATATTACAAGCCAGCAGGTTTTTCAAGGGAAAATAGAAAAGTATGAATTAGATAGTCAATAGTGAGTGTACGCCATTAGTTTGTATTGACACGTTTTGTTGACTTGCCGATAGTGTACCGATGCTCGTGTTGTATCAGTCTTTAGCGGCTTCGGCACAAGTCAATGACATCAGAGACTACAGTTCAGCCAGGCTGACTTTGAGGTTGATCTAAAACCTCAGTGTTTGAGAATTTGAGTTATTTCTCAAAACACCTCATTGTGTTATTTTAATAATAGCGGATGTACATGAATTTTTCGTAACTTCTTTGTGGAGGAAGTAATCGTGTGAAAAGTTTTGTAACGCCGCGCCGACAAAATAATATGTGCATTCTTGTTTAACTGTTTAATTATGACGAGACGCCGACTAAACATCAAAAGATTCTTTACTCATGTCAATTTTTGTAGAAAGTAGGGTTTATTTGAGTCTGTGTGCAAATTATTTGCTTATTGCTCGTATATTTGCTGTTTCCTAATAATGATTCAGATTGCAAATAATTGACTTATGTGAATAAATGGATTTCCTTTTGTATTTAAACTTTTACGATCGTCAATCTCCGTAAAACGCTGGCGTTCAAAGGAAGTTGTTGAAATCGTAACTGCTTGTATATATAATATTGATTGGTAATATTTTCCAGTGTTATTGCAAAAAGATGAGATAAAAATATTTTAAATAATAAACAGTTATTTATTATGACATTCAAATGACATAACATCCTACAATGTTTTTTTTGTACGGCCTTCAACCACGCTGTTATGACTCAATTGCAAGATTTAAATGAGTACAACAATAATTATATGAATTAAGATTTTGTTTGAAATTTTTCTCAGCCCTCAATATCAGAGCTAAAAACCCATTAGTTCTAAAATTTAAATATTTCACTCATGCTCGTCAAGCTCAGGTTCTGCATCCAGATCAAATGTATTCTTTTTTAATATCAACCTATTTGTATTTCGATATTTGTGGCAGCCGTTTTTGTTCCAAATAACATATTTTCAAACTCGACTGACTGTTGCAGGTCGTTAGCTACAGCTGCTGTTATCTGATTAGTTGTTTCCGTATTCCAAATTGTAGGCACAAGGCAGTCACTTAGTCAACAGCCAAACAATATTTGTCCATGGACCTTCGTAATTGACAACAATTAATGTTTAATGTAATCTAGAACGGACATTCAAATTCCTAATTTGAAACAAAGCATACTAAAACGAGAATCGATTTTAAACAACTATCATAAACGCTTTTCAAAAGTACAATGTCTTTAATTCAATACTACAACGCGATGTAATTTGCTGCGTCACCTGTTGACCAACGAATCAAGTGGGGCTCACGACAACAAAGCAATGAGGTGTTTGACCCACATGTATGAGACAACGAGGTGATCATCATGGCAAATGGTCTCGCATGAGATAAAATTGTGCCAAAAGATAGCAACAGTTGTTACGTGAACGCTCGGAAAGAATAGAATGCGTGTTGCGACAGTACTTCAGCCTCGGATGTGGGTAATTGCACAGAAGCCAGCAGCTCGCTGGTTTAATTGTGAGCACAGTCGCACGCGCAGCCGCTGGGACACTCGGCCACCGTGAGAACATGTTATAGGTAACAGCTACAAAAAGTGTCAATAGAGATTAAATCTTCCCTTTGCTCATGTAAGAACGAAAGGAACACACGAGACAATGAAATAATATATTGCCTAATAGACAAAAGAACTCATATAATACTTAGCACAAGAACTCCTCTGACACAATGTTTCCACGTATTGATCATTGTGGCATTCCACGTAACTACGGTTATTCGGTTATTTTGCGAGTAACAAGCTTTATTATGGAGCTAGGTACTACTGCAAATGCCATAACTAAACAATTATTGGTGTTACATAAGTCTAAGTTTACGAGGATGGTATTTTGGTTTGCCATATAATTAAATGGAATCATGTTTTCGAAACCAGTTGCTTAGGATTCTAATTACGTGTTTTACCTGTAATTTTGCCCCTGAGAGAATATATGTAGCAACAATCGCAGATTGCTAAGTATAACAATAAATACCAAACGTGAGCCCTTAACGCAGCTCCCATAGGTTACGCCACTTTTACTTTAAGCATGAACTGTATACAGACGCAAGCGCACACATCCAATGTGAAGCATTATTCACGACGACTATAAAATATGTCGATAACTCTCAGGATGGAATTACCATGTTCCTGTAGAGAGTGGAATAAATTGAGAAACCTCGATGTTCATCGATTATCCGACGGAAATACACCTAATGGTCATAATCATAAAATATTTCAAATTTATGAGTAACTTAACAACATACCTTCCTAACTAACTGTAATTATGCACTGCATATTTTGTTTGTCATGGATGGGAAAAACTACCCCTTTACCTATTCCATCATGAGTTTGTAAAAAAGGTAAACTTTTGCCGAATTATAATGAGATCCTTTAATCCCAGAATCTTAACAATTTTCAGTTTTCCAGCTTCAGTAAATCATATCGCATAAAGAAAATGCCAACTAACCTTCAATCCTTGAACGTGGGCTTCAGAGTTAAAATCAACTTTGGATATGAAGAAACCAGTCGCGTGTTCTTTGCCACCTCTGATCGCGAAACCGAAGGCTGGGGCAGCTCTGCGCGGGCGCACCAGGCGCACAGCGCGCACGCGCCGATCGCCAGCCACTGCGCCAACCGCGCGACCTGAACCCGACGTCGTCGTAGACGCAGTCGACGTCGCGTACATTGTCGCTCTGAAAATAAAAATAAAATAATTAAAATCTTAGTAAGTATAGGTATTTTTTTACACTAAAAACAGATTTCACTACCTCTTAAATTCAGAAATAAATAAGGGAAATCAAGCACTCGCCCAGTGATAAACAACCTCCTTTAAATTAATAAAGGGTCAAAAGGTTATACAACTTATTACACGGCTCGGTCCAGATGGATGGTGGGCCTAACACAAAACATTTCTATGACAATGAATCAACTCAAAGTGCAATTTAAGGCTAGATCCATCTAGACTGCCACAGTACTTAAATAACTGAAGTTTTGAGGACATCCATGGACAAGGGAGGCTTTATTATTTAAAGGAAGTATGAACTGGCTGGGTGCTAATGTAAACAACTGTCAATGAGGTGATGTACCAACGTATGTTTATTTGACATAAAAAGGTTTTCAGGTTGATTGTCCAATAGCTATAAGTAATAATTTATCCGAAGTAGGTGGTCTATCACAAATTAATGGCATCTCTTTAGATCTAGGTAATTGGTAGTTAATAGGATTTGCACTCAACCTGCTACTAACCCATGCTATGCCATTAACCGACATACTCGTAACAGGTATGGACATAAATGGTGTTAGGCCAAGACGTCTAATTTTGAGTAAAATATTAACATAAAGTTAGAGAAACACTTGTACTACATCATACCATTTAAAGTTACATTAGTTACTGACGATTTACAATATACCTTGGTGTATTATAAAAAAGTTATATAAAGTTTATTAAACGTCAAATAATACCGACTATTTTTGTATCTAAAGACAAGGTGGATGAATTATTTGGTCAATATTGAAGTATTTTATCGTCAGACAAAGGAAGATTTGACCTAAAGGGCTCACCCTAAAGAAAAAGTTCGACCTATGCTATTTTTATAAAGCTTTTCATAGAGTTATATTAAAAAGTGGATGTTACATTAATACATGCATCTCTTATCCCTGACCCTAAAGTTGATGATATTTTCTTGTATATTTTTTAAAAGATATTGGTTGCATTTTCTAACTTCGGAATGGGTACATTTTATAGAAGTGTATCTCAAAACCAGTTCACTACTAGAATAGTGCATTAGCAATAATGATTTAAATAAATTTTGGAATTTATGTGTGTCAAAATACCGTTGTAGCATATTCGTTTAGTGATAACATTAAAATAAATAAATAAACATAACTGACCATAATGATCGACCAATGCCCCCGGCGTTATGCCAAATTGTTACTAATTAGAATATTAAAATGGTATACCATTCCGATCGCAATGGCAAACACGTTTCACTTCCAAAAATAAATATTTCTTATATTATAATTTACTATATAAAAATCGAGTCGAGTTTTTCTTCCTGACGCTAAAACTCCAGAACGCACGAACCGATTTCCACGATTTTGCATTCGTTGGAAAGATCTCGGGCTCCGTAAGGTTTATAGCAAAGAATGTTACATAAAACGAAGCCATCTGGTGGCGAAATGGAGTTCACCGGGCTTGCTAGTGTATTATGAAAATGACAATAACCAATAAGTTAGCTTTAACTTTGATAGGTATCTAAGTTCATACATTTAAAATACAGTAGACCCCGTTTAAGACGATCACGCTTAATACGATTTCTCGCTTAATACGCCATTTTACGTCGGTCCCTGCAACTTAAAATATATTTTCATACATTTCTTAACGCTTAATACGATTCGTCATCCCGTTTAATACACGCCGAGCAGCGAGAGAGGTCAGCGCTCCAGACGTCGTGTTGGAAGAAGAAGAACCCGAGATACTGCAGGGTTTTCCTGGATACTCTTCTATTGATGACAATGTAGCACCGTACGAAATTCAATCAATTGAAGATCTTATTGAGAATGTGAACAACACACAAAACGAAGCCCTAAGTGATAATGATGAAGACGAAGATGAGTCAACTCCGGTTTTGTCAAACGCACAGGCATTATCAGCTGTTTATGATTTAAGACGCTATGTAGCTTCTATGGATCAAAGCGAAGACGCACTGCATAAGTTGAATTATGTTGAAAATCTTTTAATTGCTAATGCATCAAAATCTTTTTGTCAAACCAAAATAAGTGATTATTTTAAATAATGTAATTTTAATTACACTACGTATTTAACGTAATTTATAAATGTATTATTACAAAAATTAGAACATATTAGATAATAATAAGTAGTACTTTTTTTTATTTTCTCTATCCCGCATAATACGCTTTCTCGCTTAAGACGCGTTTTTGGTAAGGTCCCTGAGAAATCGTCTTAAGCGGGTTTTACTGTAATAGCCTATTATAATTATTATTAAGCAACAACAATGAGGTTTTGTAACCATAATCAACTACTGATTCGTAAAATTACGTAACTAATTATTAATTAAATAGTGTAGAACAATTATAGAGACATGAAATCTTGAAATCTGTATGTCCTACTTGATTAAACGCTAGAATGCACCGATATGAGACACAATAGAAAATACATTGTGTTTCGCGTGGATCTACGTTTAGACACATGACAGGTTAAAATGTATATTTTTTTACAATAAATAAGTATAACCAATCATTGTCAACAACCCATATATGGAACAAAGATGATATCAAACAATGTGACAGAATATTACACAAACGCTCAAAAAGAACTTGTAATTATTTTTTAAATTTACCTTACCCCTTCATAGTCGCCATACATACTTAATTACTTATCCTTGCATTTGTTAATTCCCAAGGGGTAGTTCCCGAGGTGCATATTAAATGTAATGTACACTTTCCACTAGTTTCGTTATAAGTTCCCTGTAATGCGGAATGACCCTGTTGTCTGTTGGGAATACACTAAACTACAGACAGAATGTTTAGTATACACATTCATCATGCATCTAAAATATTAAACATCTAGTTAATGTTCAACATCTATCTATTGAAAGTACAGAAAAAATTCCGGATACCCATTTCTTTAAAATAAACTTATAAAGACTTTATAACCATCACATAAAAAAGAAAACCACAGTTCGTTAACCACGAATTTATATTCAAATAAGTATTCATATAGTCATAAGCCTTATCGAATAGTTAGTTATATGAAAAGCGAATATAATCGTTTTGATATAGAACATAACTCTGATTTGTTTACGTCAAAGTTATTTCTGTACGATGCTTTTTATGTTAGTCAAAACTACTTCAATTATTCAAGGTAGCTTTTTTACGTGCACGTGTATATTGTACTTGTGACTCAGAGTGCAACTACATTTATGACTAATGTGTAACTTACATTTTTCGATGCACTATTCAATGCAGTCGTGATTTGATTTTCAAGTCATCGAAGTTTTCAAGTTGTCAAATCACAAATGAAAAATATATGTAAATAGGAAGGAAGGAATAAAATAAAAATTTTATTTTATTCCTAGAATGAGCAAATTATCTTTCCGTATAATAAAAGAGAATGATTCCAGATTTTCCCTATACTTACTAAACTCTTTGATTCCAGACCCCATATTTCTTTTTGTAATGCTTTACTTGACACTTATAAATAGATCACGCAAAAAGTTTTGACCTAAGTATAATAGGTTATGCTTGCAACCATTAATCTGACAAGATTAAAAAAATATATTTAAAAGTTGGAATTACATGTAATTTAAAAAATTTGAAATTAGAAAACCGATCGCCAATACTAAGTTGTTGTTAGCTTTAGTATTTGTCATCAAGTATTTTATTTACCTACTCTTTATGCATGCAAGTCCAATTGCATGAATATTTATAAATTAAAATATTTATCCATAAATGACGTTAGAATGCGAACATGGTCAAGTTTGCACACTGCCACTATTTAAATGGCTGCAAGTAGAACTGCCATATTTGTTTAAAATAAGTCAAGTCTTCTAAACACAGAGTCAAAGCTACTGTGGTATAAACGCATGCTATTATAATGTTCTTAATTACAGACCGTAATAATTAACTACTGTAATGTTCAGTGAGCATGCACAGAAGAAAAAAGAAACCTTCTTTGTTGACTAAAATAGAATGATTTTCCTACGTTGCGTTGTTATAAAAAGAAAAGAATAAAAGTATATATACTTATATAATTATAAATTGGTGTTATTATACCTTCTTGAGCAGCATAAATAAAAGTTTTGACTTAATAGGACGACTAGATCACTACAACAAAAATATATAACACAAAATTATACCCTGAGATCAAGCGACACTTAGTCTTAAGTAACAGCGGGTTTACAGATTAAGTGCAAACAATCTGAGGTTTGTTTAAATGCTACAAAAATAATATATGAATGAAAAACACAACAAAGAACATTTCTATGTTTATTATAAATTCAACAACCCGTCACGTTTTAATGGATGATGATAAAGATACAAGTTTAACATGTTAGAACAAATTATTTACACTTAACGGATTTCATAAATCCCGTCCTTAGCTAAGGGCATTAAGAAACGATCTCCGGTATTTTCCTTGACATTATCATACAACAATAGATACACCTTAGAAAGGTCAAATTGTATACTATTTTGAACATTTACACGTCAAAGTATGAACAGGTGTCTTTGAAAAATAGCTGCTCAATCAGCCAGTTCAACTTTAGTTTTGGTTAAAGTTCAGATTAATTCATTGATAAGTCGACACAAGTTGCGAGTTCGAATAGGAATTAGAACAGTCCTTTTCTATTGTCTCGAAGGTCACTAAGCAGCGTCTAAATCCCCCAAGATGATGTTATGAGCATGGGAAGTCCTGGCGAATTCCTATTATGGCGAATTTAATGAATAGATAGGGAATGAATTCACTTTACAATTGGACGACATACAAGCATCTCGGGCTTCTTCTTTGTCTCCATACTCTAAAGTAGTAGTTACGGGAAGTTACATCATCCCATACTGGCCTAGACGGGTTTTGTGCCCAACATTTTTATGGCGAACACGTTCTCGTGATGTGACAAGCGTGATGTTGCTCCTATCTCGTTACGATCAGAGTTTTAAAGTTTGGCT